TCTTCATCGTTTTCAAAGGCCCCTGTAGAGGAGGAGGGTTGGATATAACTGTGCCTGATCGGAGTTCAGTCCTGTTGTTTCTTGCTGAAGACTTCACAAGTGTTGGTAAAGATAACATTTTGGCAAGTTCGGGAGTCTTGGTAATTTTCAAAGCATCGAGTGTTTTCTTAGACTTATCAGCAAAAGATTTCAGTAATTTGGATCCATGGTCATAAGTTTTCGGCATTTTGACAAAAACTTTCCCAGATGTTTTGGATGATTCTGTAACTGCTGCTTGATCAGGGAAGCTGTATCCTTCTTCACCAGGAGATTTTGAGATAGAAGATGGACCAGAAAGACTGGATACACATATGAAGGGCTGTGTAGTACTTGTAGTCACATGTCCTGGTAGGTTTGATCCTGGATTGATCTGTTGTGTTTGTGGTGCAGTAGCCTGCAACATTGACATGATGTTTGTCCCTGGAGTGTGAGGTACCAGGAACAATTTGGAACCTAATCCAGGCAGCAACTGTGGCACACCAATAAAATTCGGAGGCACAATAGGATGGGGAAGAAATGCTGTAGTAGATGGGTTAATTCCTGTGGCTGTATTTAATGGTCGACATTGGTTGAAAATATTATTTGTGTAGACCATAGGGTAAGAGGACTTTGAGCTGCTTCCCGACACTGTGATGAGAGGAACAGCTCTGGTAATAGTGGCGGTCCTGGATGTCGCAACATCTTCTTTAGGAACTATCGCCCTTGGCATTACAACAGGATGGGAATTCTGCAACTCTTGAACCTTTGCTTTGGCTTTTGTTGATACTAGCTGAGTGTCTTTACCTGCAATGAAATTTTTTTTTTTTTCATATCTTTTTCTATTTCAAAGGTATTAATAAGCCTGTGTTTCTTGTGATATATGAACATCTCTTCCAGCAGATTATGATCAACTACAAGCACGTTTTTTTTCATTTATCTGACAAGTTATTATCATGAAACACTTAGAGTGAACTTAAGTAGTTTCAATTGATATGATATTTCATTTTCCTATGCCAAGGTTACATGGTTCATTCAGAACCAAGAAGTTTTTATTTTGGTTGATATAACAGGAAATAAAAATTCAATTTCAGGAGGCATATAATCCCCTCCTATTAATTAAAAGACATTTTCCCATGGTTTTTGTTTACCAATCTTCTTCCTTGAACATTTTTTCTGAGGTTTTTTCTTCGTCGCACATGATCCAGACGTACATGACATCACTAAATCTCTGACAGTTTCTTCACTCATTCCAAAACTCCTCTTTCCAAAGGTGTATTTCTTCATCAACTAAATCAGACAAAGAATGTCATTTAAGTTGTGTGTATTTCTATTAAATGAAATTCAAGGCCATTTCTCCAGCAAGCTCCTACTGTAGTACCAATTACTGTTCTATACAATTATCAGTACCTTCATGCAAATATTTTGCCCAAAAACACTGAAAGTGTATCACAGTCTTTTTCTTTGGCAGGCTTCACTCAAATGCAGAAACTCAGCAAAGACTGATCCTAACACAAATGTTTAATGAAAGTTGTTTACTAAAAGGGTTACACTGCCAGATATTTATATGGCAGCTGAGCTTCACATGGATCAAGTATAATGTAAATAAATCCCTACAAAATGCTGCAAGTTACTGCTTCATCAATTTAGCTGTAGGCAGTTTGGCCTAAGGTGCTATCAGGGACGGATTAATAGGCCATGATCTTGTGCATTAGAAACTAGTCTTAAATTGGCATATGGCATGACAATATGATGACATTGAAATATTTGAAAACACTGAAAGGTCCAGTGTGTGATGCCAGATTTCACTGAAATTCAACAAAATATTGTATGAAGTCCAAAATTAGTAATTAAATTACTGTACTTCATATAAAGAGTTGAACATGGACATAGGTCATTTTTAAACCAAAATATAAAGTTTAAACTATAAAAAATATGCCAGACTCTATAAATACGTTGACTACTTAATACATCAACAGGGGTTTTATGGGCATTTCAATGGGTTAACCTTTTTGATTGTTGCTGAAGTACTGTGATGAGAGTAAGAGCTGGAACTCTGGGTTTGACTTCCGCGGTGCGCTGTCAAAATAACAGACTCGAATTTTTCTTTTGGCAGTATTTTCTTTCCAGATATTTTGTGAATCAAGGAATCGTCTGACAACCGCAAATACATTCTTCTTGACCATGACTTGAACCTCCCTGTCTTGTTGTTAGTCGACTGTCTCGACCCGCCAATTTCTGCTTCCTCCAACTCAAGTTGAGAAGGCACTGTGCCATTCTTGTGAAATCCAACGATTAAATCATATTGTTTCTGCGTTAATATAGTTCCACGTTCGCCTTTACGTTGCATTTCTGTATCAGTATGTGGTTTAGTCTTCGGCATGCTCCACATGTCAAGCAGACGAAAAATATGGTGTCTTGTCCTAACCTCGTTTTCAGTTTCAAACACATAAAATTGAGTGAGGTAACCCGCCAAAAATACGAAACGAAACCGTATTATCCTACTGCTGAGTCAATTATCGGCTTTAATAAGAGAATTTTCTGACGTCTAATAACGATTTGCGAAGGCTAGAAAGATTATCTACGACCGATGACTTCACTTTTTCACAGACTAACGTATACATCTACTCCTAACGTTCAGCTTGAATTTGATGAAGTAAAACTCAAATGCTATTGCTTGACTTCAATAATCGCTCTTTGTTGTATGATTTCGTTACACGATCCTCAAAGGTAAATGAGAAACAACAAATCTGAAATAAAGTTTCGCGTTTTAAAGTTTCGATCACTATCGATCTCTGCACCCCTTGAACATATCATGGCAAAATTGAAGGTTCCATTTGCGACACCTTATGGACAAGATGAAAAGACGCATTTGATTCTTAAATGTACATCAAACGAAATACGCTATGGTATAGTGGCTTTGAAGCTGGGTGTCGCTCCTATATAATATTGAAAGGAAGTGAACAGCCTGTGATGGGTCAGTTTTTAGTTTCAAGTTTCAAATCGCCCTACGTCTGTGATACGTCCGTTCGTAAACAATTTTTGTTATCGCTATTTCTTGAGAAGCACTGAACGGATCTTTTTCAAATTCAATTTGTAGGTTCCCACATAGTCTCTTTTTGTGCCCATTTGATTTTGGAAGTGATCAGAAAAACAAAATGGCTGACAGGCGGCCATCTTGTATTTTTTCATGAAGCTTGTTATTGCTATTTCTTGAAAAGGACAAAATAGATATTTCTTTCCTACCTTTCCTTGGTCTGTATTTGTGCCCATTTGATTTTGGGTCTAATCTGATAAAAACAAAAAGGCAGAGAGGTAGCCATCTTGGATTTTGACTATGCAAGATTGTGATCACTATTTCTTGAGAAAAACTCGATTGATTTTTTCTCAAATTTCACGTATAGGTCCATATCGGCCCCTAACTGTGGCTGTCTAATTTTGGGACCGATAAAAATTAAATTGCCAACAGGCAGCTATCTTGGATTTTCCATATTAAAGATTATTATCCCTATTTCTTAAGAATTACTGAATGAATCTGTCTCAAATTTCATATTTATGCTCTCTTTGGTCTCTATTTGTGCCCGTTTGATTTTAGGACTGATCAGGATAAAAATGGCTTTTAGGCGACCATCTTTGATAAAGATTATCATTGTTATTTTTGCAAAGGCTCAGGATTGTGGGTATATGGACTGTTTGAACCTGCAGCCTGTGCCGTGATCAACTGACAAACTTTGACTCCATCTTGTTATATATAATTATATTACTTATCTAATCTTACTATTCTTTAACACTATAATTTAAATGATGGTAATGCTTGCCTAACATTTCTGTTAAATAATTATTCATCTGAATGTATATTCTAAATTCTTATTCCTGAAATGAAAAAGGAATGTTCCAACTTTCAAAGAACAAATAAAGATCAAGCTATGGTGGGTGCCAAGATTTCTCTGGGATTGCTTGTTTTTCTCTTGGAACCCACTCTTGACCAATCAAATTACTTGCTTGTGCCTTCAATTTTGCCAGGGGTACAGAGAATGAAAGAATATTGATAACCAACAGCAAGATATTTCAAAGATGTTTTTATTATATTAAAGCCCTTTTTTACATATGTAAATTGTAAGACATTAATAGGTACTCAACTGACATAGTTTTACAGGATCTACCTACTACATAATATTTTAAAGTTTGTAGATCAATTCAGTTTCAACTTAAGTAACAATGAACAATAACAGCATTATTTTAATCAACACTGCAGTAACACAAATATGTTTGTACAAAATGCACCTGAACATTTCCTGGTTCCATTTTGATTGTTTATACACATTTGTGTTTCAATATATTTATAATGTATATATATTTGTTTATTTTTGAGGAATTGCCAATCTGATTAAAACCAGACCTTAATTAACAACAATACCCTCTGTAAGATTTGGTTTTAATCACATATAAGAACTATCTCACTGCCAATATTTCAATACAGCAGATGTCATCAGAGTTATCCCCCCTTATCTGCTTGCAGTTTATGATGAACAACGAATTTTCTCTGACCAAAACAGAAAACAAAAATTATGACCAAAAAAAATCCCATACAAATATTGAATTATTCATAATGATTTAATTACACCCAAAAGATAATACTGTGAGACCTTGCCATTTATCATTTACACCAACTTCTTGAATATACATATCCATTTTACAATGAATAGAAACAAAGTACACAGCACTTTAACACATTCAACAAATGTAAATATCACAGTCGTTTTAAGAAATAAAAAATAGTCAACTGTTTGTTGATAATATTCATATTTACATGATATCTTTATGAGTTGACCATAAACATTTCACTGAAAACTATACATTCATTTGACAACAAACTGAAGAACTGACAACTGTTATTATCACCTATATTTTGAACACGTTCTTCATTATATGAAGGTATTTACTAAAATATTAAAGATGAAAATAACATGAATTCTTATCTCAAACATGATTTAAGTGTTGTTTAATAGTGGCAAGTTTTCTGAACTATTAATTTCTTTCATTCATTCATTATATTAAATTATGTAAAAACATTTACATTATTTGCTACATTTAAATCTTATAACTTAGAATTTACTTTTGGCAAATTTTATAAAACAAATATCTGAACAAACATAAAACTTCACCTGTCAAATATGCACTAAAAAAATTTTTCATTTATCTGGAGACAATTATTCATAAATATTCACAAACATCCATGTAACTTCAACTTTCATTAATGAATTAAGAAAAAAAAAACCTCGAACATGATCTGGAGATACTGACTTCTGTAACATACACTCTGTACAGATACCAGTCATATAACAGTCATATTCACAATCTATCATTCAAACATTTAATAACAGATAACATGTTTGTTACTGAAATATTCAATACACACTCGCCCTTAACAATGTCTGTCTTCTTGTTCTTTGATATATCTGTCATCACGATTAACACAACTTCCACATACATTATTTATATATTTATATACATATTTAAAAACACCATAAGAATCCTTTTCAATATCAAAAGTATCTTATCCTTCAAAGGAATTGTTCTCTTTTTTCCACAAAACCCTTGTGTTAACAAAAAACTCTATGATAAATTCTTCATTCACAGTCTCCATTTCTTTAAGCACCAGATTCTTGCCTGTCCATAACAACCTTCATATTATACAGACAGTGGCTTGATTTATTATGTAACTAGAGACAAACTCCCTTGTCTATAAAGATTCTGTCTCAACGTGCGACTGGCTCTTCCTTGTCCAAGGAAACATGATCTATAAAAGGATGCAAGATTGTCTGACAATTTATATTTCTGAAACTAACCCCATTCTGTCTGTAACATATTCTTTCCTGTAAAATCACTTCCGACCAGCTGCATGAGTTTCTCCAGTGATTGCTATAGACTAGAATATTAATTCTTTACTGTTAAACACTCACCAGCTACAGCTGCCTAGTTCTTCAGAATTAGTGATTTAATCTGACCAACTATTGGGAAGCATAAATCTGTGGATATCAGACCCTCCAGACCTGTAGAGGGACTGTTATCGGTTAACTGTATCTCAGAATGCACAGCTAAGTTCTACCAGCCACTGGCCTGTTCCTTTTCTCAGTTCATGCATGTTGTCACTTTTCAAGCAGTCGAAGTGGGCCTATTCCTCCAATCATGAGAAACATACAAGTTGCTGATAAAGGAGATTTATTAAAGATTTTCTTCCATCATGAGACACATACATGTCTACTGTTGAAACCAGTCTTTCCCTCCCCTTTGGAGATCAAGATCAGACAGTGGTGGTGTACCTCTCAGGAGTTGTAATCGTCTCTATTTCCCCACCTGAGATTAAGATCAGACTATGTCCATATAGAATTGTAGATGGTGGTATTCCCCTCAGGAGTTGTAGCAGGTCTCTATGTCCAGTCAGATTGAGATCAGACGTTGTCCTTTCAGAAGTGTGGATAAGTCTCTATGTCCAGTCAGCAGATGGAGTTCAGACTTTGTCCTTTCAGAAGTGTGGATATTCTAGCTTACTCCTCAGGAGTTGTAGGAGGACATTGTGATGTACGTTTTGCCCCTGATACATTTACAGCCACAGCCAGAAGGACATTCATCGTGGGTTTGGAACCAGTGTACGATGTGGTTTGTGTGACCACCATGTCCACACGTTAAACAGAAATTGGAGGCACCTGGAAAGTCAAGAATTGTCCAATTTATTTTGTACTTAAGATAACATTTGCACAAAAGTCTGAAGTGATACAAAATTAGATGGAATGAACATTGCATCTTATTCTCAGAAAAGAATACATTTGAATTTTATAACTGTAAAAAGTGACCTCTGACCTACAATATCTAGTATAGGTACTAGCTAGGTGATCTCTCTACTCTAGCTCTGATTATCCCGTCCAAGTTGACCTCTGACCTATAAATCTAGTACTAAGTGATCTCTCACCTCTGGTGCTGACTATCCATTACAATCTGACCTCTGACCTTATACAATGTGATCGATCACCTCTGACCCTGTTCTAGCTGTCATCTGATCCTAACTAATCAGTACCAGTAAATTTCTGAACCTTTATGTCAAGAGTTCTCACCTCTGACCCCGATGCGACATATGACACAGTTAAAGGAATTCTCACCTCTGACCCCGATGTGACAAATGACACAGTTAAAGGCAAGCACTTTACAGTGTCCACACTGAGGCCCTCTCACTTCTTTCCTGCAGCGATGGCAGTTCAGTCCAAATTCTGAAAATGAAACATTAAGGTCTATTATTACCACAGTGACAATTTAGTCAGAACTCCACAAATTACAAGACACTGGCTGTACAGTCCAACCTCCATCAATAAAAGCCATATTATTACTATGGTGAATTTGCAAGTCATGTCTAGCTTGTGAAGAGTTCATTAATTATCTGGCTATTCTATACTCTATTTTTCTATCCCCTTGTTTGCTCTGGAGGACTTGAGAAAAACTTGATACCCAAAATGGCTGGTTTTCCTATACTGTACTTACCTACTCCATTGCATTCCTCCAGAAGACTGTAGACAAACTTGAGTACATAAGTAACCTTTTTGTCCATTTTCCAGTACATACCTATCCCCTTGTGTTGCTCTGGAGGACTAAAAATTAACTTTAGCACACAAGATCCATGGTTGTCCGATACTGTACTTACCTACCTCATTGTGTTCTTCCAGAGGACTGTAGACAACCTTGAGTACATAAATTACTTGGTTGTCCTATCCTTTGCATACCTATCCCCTTGCGGACAAGAGAAAAACGTTTTTAGATTGTTCAATAATGTACTTACCTACCCCACTGTTGATTTGGAGGACTAGAGACAAACTCAAGTACATGAGTTGATAGGTTTTCCTATCATGTACTTACCTACCCCATCTTGTTCCTCTGGAGGACTGGAGACAAGCTGAGAACACAAGTCATTTTCTGGTTGCCCTATTTTCTGTACTAACCTATCCTATTGTGTTGCTTTAGAGGAGTGGGCACAAACTTGAGTACATAAATTGCCTGGTTAACCTTTTTCCTGTACATACCTATCCCTTTGTGTTGCTCTGGAGGGGTGGAAACAAACTTTAGTACATGAGTTGCCTGGTTGCCACGTCCCCATTGATACAAGATATTGGCATAAGCATGTAAGTACTGGTCATACTGTTGCTGGGCAGCAGGGTCCATCATCCTGGTCAAATAAACAACATATAACAGATACATTACAATGAGGATTGGTGAGAGGCTGACACTTATTAGGCCAAAACAAAAATAAAAACAATTTCTTTAAAATAACATTTAAAAAATTATATAATCTTAGAAATACAAGTCTTTTATTATGATTTCCAAAATCATCAAGTGTTTTTCACTCCCATATATATGCTCTCTTGTCCTCCCCTTAACATAGATATCGCTAGTTACCTCCCCTGATCTCTGATACCTCCATTCAGGGTAGTCATTTAAATATGAATATCACATCGGACTTTCGTTACCCCCTCTGATTATTGGTACCTCCACTCAGTGTTGTTTCCTTCCCTAAATATGAATAACACTTCAGGCTTTAGTTACCTCCCCTTATTATTAGTACCTCCACTCAGTGTTGTTTCCTTCCCTAAATATGAATAACACTGCTGGCTTTAGTTACCTCCCCTGATTATTAGTACCTCCACTCAGTGTTGTTTCCTTCCCTAAATATGAATAACACTGCAGGCTTTAGTTACCTCCCCTGATTATTGGTACCTCCACTCAGTGTTGTTTCCTCCCCTAAATATGAATAACACTGCTGGCTTTAGTTACCTCCCCTGATTATTAGTACCTCCACTCAGTGTTGTTTCCTCCCCTAAATATGAATAACACTGCTGGCTTTAGTTACCCCCTCTGATTATTGGTACCTCCACTCAGTGTTGTTTCCTCCCCTAAATAGGAATAACACTGCAGGCTTTAATTACCTCCCCTGATTATTAGTAGTTCCAGTCAGTGTTATTTCCTCTCCAAAATATAGATGTTGCTCCAAACTTCAGTTACCTCCCCAGGTTATTATTTCCTCCCCCAGTGTGGTTTCCTCTATATATGGATTTTACACCAGACTTAAGTTACCTCCCCTGATTTTTACCTGCTGTTACTCTCATGTTGAATCTGTTCCTTTTCCGCCTCCTTCTGTTTAGTGTCTTTGCTGTCTTCAAACTTGTAGTCATCCATGGAATCAATATCAAATGACCAGCTGTTGGACCTCCGCATTTTCTGGACGGCTATATTTAGAAAATGTCTATAAGTGACCTTGACCTCCATACTGAAGTCATAGATAAAGTTTATGATGAATTGATTTTTTAATTGAAATACACGACCAAAGAAGTTGTGATAGTTGATAAGTACTATATCCAAACATACTTTAAAGAAAGTAAAATTTACAAAGGATATATGATGTAATGCATTCCTATAAAACATTTAAACATGAAGTGTACTACACACACAAAACAAGGAAATATTTGCAACTTAATAATGTTTCTATTGGTTGTAATTATCTTAATATAAATATTATATGCAAGATAATATTGGAACAAAATAACATGGTATCAAAGTTTCCTACAATGAAACATCTATAAGATATCAAAATCATAGCAGCATCTAACACATATAACTGCCATCCAGCTACCACATATTGCCAGCGCTACCAAAGTCATCATGATTTTTATAAGTATGATACCATAATGTATGAAATTAAATTTCTTTTGTCAGCTGAAAGAAACTCCTGACCCCTCTTCTCCTATCAAGGGTATCAAGGGTATAAGATTTTTTTTTTCAAATAAAATGTGCATTTTTTTTTAGGGTATAAGATTTTTTTTTTTTTTTTCAAATAAAATGTGAATTTTTTTAAGATTACGATTTTCATTTTTCATTACTCATAGCCTAAGTGTGAAACCTAGACTGTTGACAGCTGTGGTAGGACATCACTAAATGTGTGTCTTAAGTAAAAATAGCATGTGTCTGAATCAGTTACAAAGCAATTTGTGTTAAAATTAAAGCAAGAAAAAGAAATTTGCTTAAAAATGTGAAGCAATCCAGCAAAATTAAAATTCACTTTTTCATGAATTTTTTTCTAAATTATTTCTTCTCTGTGAATTATTAAAATATATTAGAAATAATAATAATGTTTCAACAATTTTGTTTTAGTTTAGTAAAAAACAAACAAACACAACTGGAAACAAAATAAACTCAACACCTATATGCTACCTGACAAGTCTTTATCTGAAATTTAAAACATTAACATAGAAACACAGATGTGTTTAGATACAATTTTCATTATAGAAAAGGGTATACCTTATTGTTATCCAGTGTTGGGTTACTTGTAACACTCAAATAAGGGTTAAATAAGTGAATTTTAAAATTTTATAAAAATTAAGTTGTGTAACAGTTGACTATTTTGCAAGTGCAACTACATGGATAACACACATCACTATCGCTTAAATATGATCATTTGTAAATTCTAAGTTAAATTTTGAATTATTGAGAATGAGCACTGAAAAAACATGTACATTATTAACGTCAACAAAAGACTTGAGAGTGGTAAGACTCTGTATGAGATTTGTTGTAAATAGTTGAGATCAGGAAAGACAAAGTGTTTATTCACACAAAATATTCATATCATGTGACTAATATCATGTGACTATAATTAAACAAACTCAAGGAAGTAGAGTTAATCAGCTAAAGTAAGGTACTTAGTCAACAAGGAAGAGAAATAAAGACAGGAAAAGTAAGTGTTGTTCTCCTTGACTCTACTCCAACCTATACGTCTTATCTAAAAACAATAAAAAACAGGAAAAAAAAGAAAATTTCTTGGTTGTTCATCACAGAAAGATGATTCTAGGTACACAAACAAATGTTTGTGGTTTATTTTTTTGTACTACTTACCACAGAGCCTGTACTGTATCTTAAGGCATATAGGTAGTGATGGGAAATTGGTTAAAATCCATAATTGATTATCAGTTATAATCAGATAGGCTTTCCAATGTAGTTAATATATTATATAATTGTCTGACTTTTGTGTTCAATATTCACAGAAAGTGCATGCATTTTGCATTGAGGGAAAAAACCTTTTTTGCAACTTTAACCTTAAATAACTCATTTACATAGAATTTGCATAAGAATGAATATCACAGGCAATTGGCATACCAATTACGAATAATATTAATTTTTTTTTTTGCTAAAATGCGTGAAAATACTAAGGTACTGATGATCAATCATGAAATATTACAATGGATCGTGGCATCAGATGAGGTTAAATGATTATATAATCAATTTTATCTGATCATCGTCCCATCACTACATACAGGTATCTATATATCCTACATATACAGATAAGTATGTAATGGTAACACAGGTTGTCATAGAAATGACTTTCTATTATATATATCTGTTCTGAGAAACTAGGCATGTTGTTTTCACTCTAAATCTTTATCAACAGTAAACTTGACCCCCTTTTAAATCAATTAAGTTGACCTTGACCCCCTTTCAAATATATTAAGTTGCTTCCCTTTTTAAAGTAAATTATGAATCTTTTTTTTAAGAAGAACATGCCCATATATTGAGTTGATGGGAAGGTATACAAAGTGTAGATCTTTAGATACGTAAAACAGCCAGTATGATATTGTGTGTTGGCGCGGACATGCTTTCTGTGATACATGACCCTGGAGTAAGACAGACGACCAGCTAGATACAGCATGCATAAAATGATGAAGATTACATGCCACAGATGTTTTACGACAAATTTTTATAATGTTTACTTCCGGTGACCTCCAACCTTGATGACTGCTGACCACAAGTACAGATAACGTTAAAGGACATAGGACACGATTTTGAACTTTTTCTAAAGCACAAATTAAACATTACTTTGATTCATTTTTGTAAAAGGTCTTGCGGTCATTTCAGTATACCTGTTACCTTTTTTGAGGCCTTAATGCGTTTTCCAACAAGGACAAATCATAAAGTGAAATTTACCGTCGTTTATGCATATGAGACATCATTCCCTGTCTATATGTGGTGATTAAAACATGGATCACATGTAATTTGATAACTGTTTTGTCAAAAGAAGATTTTGCACTTTCTAACTTACATTTCATATTACCAGTGTAAACACTCTGCATATATGTAGTTAGAATCCAAATTTGAAAGAAATGGTACAAATGTTATTTATAAACTATTTGTAAATTTTGAACTTTTTTTTCTTTGACCACAAGTAACAAAAGTAGGATATGTGAAACTTAACGTAGGTACTTCAGTATTTGTGTTACAATTGTCCTAACATTTTTCCTAGGAGATAGGATATAACATCAGACAAGCAGGTCATAATTAATTTAACAGAGACACATTCTTAAAATAACAAACTTCAAATTAATGTATGGGTGAATGTTATGATAAGCTTTTCAGGTAGGTTGCTTCTGTACTATTCCACAAATGAAAACATTTCACATTTTTTCTTTCGTTATGTGTTTACAACACATCTGCCAAATCAAGTGCAGCAACTTCTCAGTACGCACTGCACTAATGACAAGACAACAAAATACTATCTTTTTTGTTTGTTGTTTTATCAACAAATACATTTTACAACTGCTTCCTTTTGTTTTGAATCTCTTTTTATCAAGACACATCACAAGAGTCAATCTTACTGATTAAGTGATCAATCTACTTATTTAATGTTTAAAAGACAAGGAGTTAAACAGGCATTTCGGCTGATCTGTGATTATATGTACAGGCATTATAATGGGTAACTTTCGACAGAAGGTCACAACTGACGTCATAAATCTATCAGCCTCGTCATCGCCCAAAAATGTCATCTATGAAAAATCATGTCCTATGTCCTTTAACAAGGTCAAACCTGTAACCTTGTAATGAATAATGCTCCTATTGTTTAAATACACTGCAATAACTCTTGTTTCACTAGCAGTATAGTGATGAGCTTGACAGCTGATGGGGGCTGAGAATGAAGATCTGATAAGTCATCCCCTAGTGTAGATGCTGTGACTTACCTCAAGTTCAGAGTGATAAGGTTGGTTTGAGAAGTGACCTTTATCAGGGATGTCACCAACTCTCTTTGTGGGATTGGGAGAGGTGACCCATTTCACGGATGTCAACCCAATTCTGTGTGGGGCTATGAGAGGGGACCTATTTCAGGAATGTCACCAATGCTCTGTGTGGGATTGTGAGAGGTGACCTATATCAGGGATGTCACCAACTCTCTGTGTGGGTCTGTGAGAGGTGACCTATTTCAGGGATGTCACCAACTCTCTGGGTGGGTCTGTGAGAGGTGACCTATTTCAGGGATGTCACCAACTCTCTGTGTGGGATTGTGAAAGGTGACCTATTTCAGGGATGTCACCAACTCTCTGTGTGGGTCTGTGAAAGGTGACCTATTTCAGGGATGTCACCAACTCTCTGTGTGGGATTGTGAGAGGTGACCTATATCAGGGATGTCACCAACTCTCTGTGTGGGTCTGTGAGAGGTGACCTATTTCAGGGATGTCACCAACTCTCTGTGTGGGTCTGTGAGAGGTGACCTCTTTCAGGGATGTCACTAACTCTTTGTGTGGGATTGTGAAGGGTGACCTATTTCAGGGATGTCACCAACTCTCTGTGTGGGACTGTGAGAGGTGACCTATATCAGGGATGTCACCAACTCTCTGTGTGGGACTGTGAGAGGTGACCTATTTCAGGGATGTCACCAACTCTTTGTGTGGGTCTGTGAAGGGTAACCTCTTCCAGGGATGTCACCAACTCTCTGTGTGGGTCTGTGAGAGGTGACCTATATCAGGGATGTCACCAACTCTCTGTGTGGGACTGTGAGAGGTGACCTATTTCAGGGATGTCACCAACTCTTTGTGTGGGTCTGTGAAGGGTAACCTCTTCCAGGGATGTCACCAACTCTCTGTGTGGGATTGTGGAAGGTGACCTATTTCAGGGATGTCACCAACTCTCTGTGTGGGACTGTGAGAGGTGACCTATTTCAGGGATGTCACCAACTCTCTGTGTGGGACTATTATACAGATTGGTAAGATGATATGAGAGATGACCTATATCAGGGATGTCACTTACTCTCTGTGTGAGACTAATTATTTCACTGTTGATAAATTGTGACATTGCTTGAGAGGCTGCAACAGTTTGAGATGCCTTATTCCACGCAGCTGGTATAGGTAAAGGACTTACCTGATCACTGAAAGATTGGAAGGTGGGAATGAGAAGCTTGTAAAATCTATCTTCACTGCCTGTGGGGCCAGTAACATACTTACCTGTTTGTTGGAAGGCGGGGAGATTCGGATGTGAGGCGACTTCGGCTAGGGACGCTGTGGAGGAGGAGGTGGGAAGGGGACCAGTGTGTGCGGTTCGCTCAGCGAGCTGATAGGCTGATGGTAGTGAAGAATGGGACGAGATTAGTCTTCCACATTACATATAGCAAGTTGGTATATTTAGTATACAGCATGTGAGCATTAGTGTGAATTAGCTCAGGATCTGCTTCACCGTTGCCTCACCAAAACACTAGATTTGAGACAAACTGGACTGATACAAAGTGTGTATTTCTCAATACTTAATGGAGACATTAATTCTTATTCTTATTACCAGGTCAACACCACCTTTGATGTTTCATCAATTAATTCTAAACTTAAATCCACTGAATATTTTAAAATCTATTCTGAAAAACGCCATACCTCAACTGAACCTAAATGTCATATTGTATATAAATTTTGCAATCTTGGTAAAAAAGGAAGTCTTGCATAAGGAAAAAATCAGTCTTGTAATATTTTTTTTTTTTTTTTTGAGGGTGTGGTGGTGGGGTTGGGGTTAGGGGTTACTGTTATTATGTCTTTTTTCCCCTATTTATAGTTACAGTGACCTTTCATGTTGACCTTGAGGCCTAATAAGCAAGTCTAACTGATTTTCCTTAATCATCATTTCCTAGATTTAACATTTAAGCTCTTAGCATCACAGACGACTCCTAGAAGGACAAAACAACTGAGCAGTTAAATCAATTATACGACTCTACTGCATCTTAACCAAATTTGTATTAAAAGGTGCTATTCCTATGTGTGTCTTTTATACAAAATCCAACAAGCAACACAACAACAGAGGCACAATTTTTATATAAAAGCATTTTGCTCTGACTTATCACATCTTTGTTGCAGTGTGTCTCAGTTCTGGTGACGAGGTGAGGCATATGATTCTTGGTTAAAGCAATGAACAAGGTAGCTAGGTCAGCTCTGTGACGGTTTAGATAGTGATACTTCGTCAAATCAAAACAAAGAAAATAGTGTCTAGATAAAACATACAACATACATACAAAGAAATGTTTGGGCTGCAACACCACATAAACAGAAAATTCAAACCCTGCCGGTCACCTGTCAGTCACATAGGTGAATTTCAAATAAATCTTCGATATTGGGCATTCCAAACTTACAAATACACATTATCTATATGTTCATAAGCATGTTAAAGGGAGGTAATCCAGAAACAACTAATAGTCACTGACAGGTTAAGTTTGAATTTTCTGTGTTGATCTAGATAGAGTACATGAAAAGTTAATGAGAAATGTAGCCATTTTTTATGCACAGATTTTCATGTCAATAATACAAAAACGAACTTAAAATTTTCTTAAACACAATGATACTGGTATGAAGCAATGAAATGGCTATCATCTTCAAGTCAGAAATAAAAAATAGCTGAAGCTATAATTTCAGAGTCTGAAGATATCTATATATAAAGAAAGCATGCATGATTGAAATTCATGCAATTTCATCTACAAAAATTTTGGATAAATTTGAACCAAGAACCTGTCAGACTGCGACCTGTCGAACAGAACAGGTTCCCTCCAAATACTCCACAGAGGAAAGCTAATATAACAGATAGCAAATATTGGCTATTGAATTGGTAACAACACAATCCTGCAGTGATCAAAATGTCCTTTTTTTGGAGAGTTGAAAACTGCTAAAACCTACTTAATTAGTTGGATAAAATTAACACTTTGACAAAGTTGGACTTGGTTTACGTAAATACGGTTTTATTTCCAATTACTGTTACAACATATACATGTTACATATTACTTTCTAAGAACACTTCTGTCATTTCTTCCTCCTTTTTTCCCCCCTTGCAATCTATCAAATCTAAAGGTGAAATCACAGAATTGATAACAAAATTAAACTAAAAAATTTACAAGTAGTATATGCATAAGTCATCAGTTATAACCTGATGGCAATATTTTTTTTTACACATATCACTTCATTTTTATTTTAACGTCTGACCCCCCTCCCCCTTCTCCCCCACCCCCAGCCCCACCCCTCTGCCCAGGTGGCACAACATAAGCATGAATAATTTAGACATGCTAGAAACAACAATTAAAATCTTCCGAGTTCAATTCTGTCAAATAAATAAATTATTTTGTAAATATCTCAATAATTTAAGAAAAGTTTTTCTCGTGAATTATATCAGATATATACCCAGTGAATCCTACATAATGATAACTGTACAGTGTATCTACCTTCTTTCATGATATGAGAAATTTAACAAATGATAGTAGGTAGACCAGTATCATTTGTGTTATACAAATTTACAGAGAATTTGTAAACTTTGACATTACTGATCTGACATAGAAAAATGGCACATTTTTATATCAACTCTTAAAACATGTAAATAACATTTTTTTAACCCACATGCTCCAAATAGCATGTTATAATGAGGATAATGTCAGCATTAATTGGACCTAGCCAGATAACACAGTATTAATATTAAAAATTCACTTAACCATATTTAGAGCACACAAATTCTCAAAGTTTCAGAAGACAGTGGAATCAACATTTTATAGACAGTAAAGCAGCTAGAGTGATTTCTTACAAATTGTAAACTGCACATAATTTAGCACAATCAAACTTCAGCACATTATATTTTTTTTTTTTTTTTTTTTGAAATTAGTGCAAAGATGAGCTCTCGCATCAGTAATTATTGCTTATATAAACAACACACAGAAGCAACAATTAAAGCAATCCTATTTTTGCACAAAACTTTCAGGAAATCAAAATCCACCCATACTTTTTAATTTGTGCAAACCAAGAAAACAGCAAAATATCAACCCACCAAAATTAAACAACTATACAGTATCCATGATTTCTGTCTGGATGTACATGAATATATATATACTTTCCAAACAGAAATATCAGTTATAGCACTATGAATTCTAAAACCTTTTCCTTCAGTTTTTCGTTATTTGGACTGTAATATGTTTTTTAGATTTTGAGCATCTCATATTGAACATGACGAACAGTTTAAATTTATCACTCTGATAATTCCTGATGTGCTGTTCTGTAAATATTGGTTACATTGATAAATATATACACAAAAAGATATTGATAATTTCAGTGTGGATTCCCACCACACTAATAACTACATGCATATATGTGACAAAGGGACATAACTCCTACAAAGCACAATACATTAGCACAAGGTTTCATACAAACAACCACAGAGAACACTTGGTGATGAAGATACTGGTTTCTGTTATGTATGAGCTTTTCAAGAAATAAGAATCTTGATTTCAAACTTCTGGCAAAGCATACAGACTTTAACAAAAACGGTTAAACTTATTTTCAAGTGAAACAATATCAATTATTTTTGTTGGCTATGAAGGAATTTTTCTGTTGCTGAAATCTGGTGTAGTCTGCAGCAAAACTAAGTGTCAAAGAGCTTACCCCTTATCTTTTTCATTTCCAATAGGAAAAATGGACTCTAGTTGCATGGTGATACCACTGCTCTTTAATTTAATAAAAAAAAAATTAAATAAAGAAATATGCATTTTTCCAGAAACCAAAATCCTCAAGATTTTTCATATAACTGATATTATTGAACCTGTGATATTAGTCTTTTTCGTTTAAATTATGATGTTATGTGTGATGATTTGATTAAAACGAAGAGCAAAGCTGTTAAACTGATCAATGTAGACCTGTTACTGTTATAAACCAGTGTACGATGGAGATGGGGAGAGGGAAAATAAGGGTTCTGCATCACATGGCAAAGACACTAACGCGGAACCAGACAGGGAAAACAGGACCTCGGAACCAAAAAGGGAAAACGGAATCTGAGAACCAGACAGGGAAAACTAATTCAGAATCAGATAGGGAAAACGAGAACTCGGAACCAGATAGGAAAACACTAACTTGGAACCATAAAAGGAAAACAGGAACTCGGAACCAGGTAGGTAAAACCAGGAACTTGGGACCAGGGGTCAATCTAACAGGTGTAAGTATGTAAACCATCCATTCACAAGCCAAGTAAATGTACCTGTAATGTAATCTTATTAATAAATTAATGTTTATGAAGATAAATTGGGAGCTAATCTGATGGTGAATGGTGGGGACTCTGTCCTAGGTACTGGCTGATATAATATCAGGACTCGGGGTTCTCTGAAACTTGAGAAGATTATTCGTAACTGACAGAACAGACATTAGATTTGGTGTGAAGGACTGTAGTATTAAGCAGAAGTCATACTTACGTATCTATTTGATGATTGTGTGTAAACCAGAAATTTATAAATATATTCCGAGCTTGACATATTTTTTCTTGTAAAAAAATATAACGCTTGTTATATATGTATTTATATATATCTAAAACTGTATTATAAACTGTGATAAATAATAGCTGAGAACTATTTTAGATTTTTCATAAAAATTCCCCATTTCATGAGCAACATGTCGATAAGTTCTACGTTGTCACCACTACCTGACAATGTTGAGGATAAAATATCATGCAGATTACGTCTTTCAAACAGTCCTCCACCAAAAGCAGATATAGGCATTCAAGTGTAAGTCTGATTATATTGTTCCTAAATCACCAGTGATGTCCTGATTATTACACTGCATGTCCGTTTCAGACTGGAAATGAACATCTTAGCGATGACACAATTATGTGTTGAGTTCTTGTCTTCTACTGGATCAACATGTTAAGAGACACAGCTTCAGGTACTGAGCTACAGTAAAGAAATAGAGATCTACTGGGCATACAGAGTCACCAATGTACCAATGACAAACAGTATAGCCTGGAGATATCCATTTATATCTTTATACCTACAGTTTTAGGCCTACATATATATTCCTAAAGCTGTATTGATAGCCTGATACAGGTAAAACCTACAGGTACATGTAGACATACAAGACGAAGCTTCCAAGAACATTCCTTGATGTATATGTTCCTTAAGTATATATTCTTCCAGGTTACAAGTCCGACAGGTCAGACCTACAGGTATAGTCCTTCAAGTGTAACAGGAAGAAGTAATGAAAAACACCATTCCCCATCAGGGTCCAAACTAAGACTTTATCTCTAGTCCTACAGGTATATAATCCTACAGGTATATAGTCCTACAAGTAAAACCTACAGGTATATAGTCCTACAAGTAAAACCTACAGGTATATAGTCCTACAAGTAAAACCTACAGGTATATAGTCCTACAAGTAAAACCTACAGGTATATAGTCCTACAGGTAAAACCTACAGTTATATAGTCCTACAGGTAAAACCTACAGGTATATAGTCCTACAGGTAAAACCTACAGGTATATAGTCCTACAGGTAAAACCTACAGGTATATAGTCCTACAAGTAAAACCTACAGGTATATAGTCCTACAAGTAAAACCTACAGGTATATAGTCCTACAAGTAAAACCTACAGGTATATAGTCCTACAGGTAAAACCTACAGGTATATAGTCCTACAGGTATATAGTCCTACAGTATAGTCCTACAGGTAAAACCTACAGGTATATAGTCCTACAAGTAAAACCTACAGGTATATAGTCCTACAGGTAAAACCTACAGGTATATAGTCCTACAGGTAAAACCTACAGGTATATAGTCCTACAGTTATATAGTCCTACAGGTATATAGTCCTACAAGTAAAACCTACAGGTATATAGTCCTACAGGTATATAGTCCTACAGGTATATAGTCCTAGAGGTATATAGTCCTACAAGTAAAACCTACAGGTATATAGTCCTACAGGTAAAACCTCCAAATATATAGTCCTACAGGTAAAACCTACAGGTATATAGTCCTACAGGTAAAACCTACAGGTATATAGTCCTACAAGTAAAACCTACAGGTATATAGTCCTACAAGTAAAACCTACAGTTATATAGTCCTACAGGTATATAGTCCTACAGGTATATAGTCCTACAAGTAAAACCTACAGGTATATAGTCCTACAAGTAAAACCTACAGGTATATAGTCCTACAGGTAAAACCTACAGGTATATAGTCCTACAAGTAAAACCTACAGGTATATAGTCCTACAGGTAAAACCTACAGGTATATAGTCCTACAGGTAAAACCTACAGGTATATAGTCCTACAGGTATATAGTCCTACAAGTAAAACCTACAGGTATATAGTCCTACAAGTAAAACCTACAGGTATATAGTCCTACAAGTAAAACCTACAGGTATATAGTCCTACAGGTATATAGTCCTACAGGTATATAGTCCTACAAGTAAAACCTACAGGTATATAGTCCTACAGGTATATAGTCCTACAGGTATACAGTCCTACAGGTAAAACCTACAGGTATATAGTCCTACAAGTAAAACCTACAGGTATATAGTCCTACAGGTAAAACCTACAGGTATATAGTCCTACAGGTAAAACCTACAGGTATATAGTCCTACAGGTATAAAGTCCTACAGGTAAAACCTACAGGTATATAGTCCTACAAGTAAAACCTACAGGTATATAGTCCTACAGGTAAAACCTACAGGTATATAGTCCTACAGGTATACAGTCCTACAGGTATATAGTCCTACAGGTAAAACCTACAGGTATATAGTCCTACAAGTAAAACCTACAGGTATATAGTCCTACAGGTATATATCCTACATTAAAACCTAACCTACAGGTAAAACCTACAGGTATATAGTCCTACACCTACAGGTATATAACCTACAGGTATACAGGTATATAGTCCTACAGGTAAAACCTACAGTTATATAGTCCTACAGGTATATAGTCCTACAGGTATATAGTCCTACAAGTAAAACCTACAGGTATATAGTCCTACAGGTATATAGTCCTACAGGTAAAACCTACAGGTATATAGTCCTACAGGTATATAGTCCTACAAGTAAAACCTACAGGTATATAGTCCTACAAACAAAACCTACAGTTATATACATCCAGACAGGTATATAGTCCTACACAGTAAAACCTACAGGTATATAGTCCTACAATTAAAACCTACAGGTATATCATCCTATATACAGTCAAAGACCTACAGTGATATAGTCCTACAACAAAACCTACAATATAGTCCTAGTCCTGATTACACAAAAAACCATACAGTATATAGTCCTACAGGTCCTGATTACAAGTAAAACCTACAGATATATAGTCCAACAGGTAAAACCTACAGGTATATAGTCCTACAAGTAAAACCTACAGGTATATAGTCCTACAGGTAAAACCAACAGGTTTATAGTCCTACAGCAACAGACAACATGATCTCATCCTGATTACACCAACAGACAACATGATCTCATCCTGATTACACCAACAGACAACATGACCTCATCCTGATTACATCAACAGACAACATGATCTAATCCTGATTACACCAACAGACAACATGACCTCATCCTGATTACACCAACAGACAACATGACCTCATCCTGATTACACCAACAGACAACATGACCTCATCCTGATTACACCAACAGACAACATGACCTCATCCTGATTACACCAACAGACAACATGATCTCATCCTGATTACACCAACAGACAACATGATCTAACCCTGATTACATCAACAGACAACATGATCTCATCCTGATTACACCAACAGACAACATGATTTTGCCCTATTACACCAACAGACAATATTACCTTACCTCAAGTACCTGAGAGCATTAGGTTCTAAATATGCACACTAGAAATACAAAATCTACAGTAAGAAATTGTTAATTCTTAAGAGAATCATTGTTAGCTACACACATGTAGGAAGTTTTAGAGACTGAAAAACAGATGGAATGAGATCATGGATATTATGTTGCATGTTCCACGATGTCCAGGTCAGTGAAAATCATAAGTGAAAAAAAAAAATAACAAAAACCCAAACACATACTTGCAAAATCAGGTAATGTGCTGAATATAGTGGGATGAATTACATTTGGGAAATAATGATTAGAACTGAAGGCACAGAAAGGCAGGCCACAGCCAGGTCTACTGATCACTCACAAGCTGGACAAGACCGACCACTTACTTGACCACCCCTTCAAGAGGCTGGAGGAGGAGGACACCGTGTGATAGGGACTATACTGTCAAAGAGAAGGGTCAAACAATTTATATAAAACAGTCTACCATTGGTCGGTTCAAGTCACATGACTTGTAAGAAGAAATTCCATTTGAATTTTGATGGTCACATGACACTCATTTACATATTTGTTGGTTGAATCCATCCTTTGATCGCTGGTACCTTTAGAATAAAAAAAATCTTAAACTGCAATTTTGAACATTTATTCTGTAAAAGAGATTGGAGTTTGGTAATATATGTCACATGATCCAGTCTATTTCCCAGCCGTTGGGTTACCGTTGGTCTGAAATAGAACACCACAAAAGAAGCAAGAAATGACCACACTGGTCACTTTCTGAGAAGAAAATTTGAGAAACTAGAAAACATGAAACAAATCTGACTTTTACAATACCTGATGTGCTGCCAAAAATCAGCCAAACATCACTATCATATTTTAGTAAAACTGCCAGCATGCTGTTAGTAAAACAGATAACAGTAAAGTAGTGCTTTCAGACATGATGCTCGACTACTCAATACATGTGTATGGGATGTATAACCTAGACAGGCTCACACAAAGTGTGCAATATTACTCTACCAGGTAATGGTGTTCGGGATTCATTTGCCTAAAGGACACCTGTTTACAGTAGAAATCTGATTTATTTATTTATTTATCTTTTTTTTTCTTTTTTGTTTTTGTAAACAGGTGTTTTACATAGTGGAAGGATTTATACTAAAAAGCCAGGGTGTTTGCAGTATGCTACCAAATAAGTTGATAAGTATAAACACTAAAATCCACATTTTTGCTAAGTGCATTTTATCAATAAATGCAGCTTCAGTTACAGTTGGTCCTTCTTGCCATATCTGTTATGATATTACACCTACCCACATACACTACCAGTAAACATGTGCCATTACCCAATATATATATATATGTGTGTATATATGTGTATCTATATATGCACAACCCTAATACATCACCATACAAACCTTCAACAACATCCTGGAAACAAAACGCATCAGGGATTTACAACAACAATTTGACAAAGAGAATGTCTGAAATGTGTACATCATAAAGCAGAGAGCACACCACCCCAAATCCTGACTGTTTTTGAACATCACACACAAAAGATTCAAGATATTTGAACATATACAACCAATTTTAAATTACTAACCATTCTGTTTCCAACACAGGATTCAAAATTTCAATAAATACTAACAATGGTCTCCCATTTATTATTATTATCATTTTTTTGTTTTTGTTTTGTTTTAGTTTCGTTTTTTTCTGATGGGGGAGGGGGTTAGAATTATCATCTATTTACAAAATTATTTAGCTACAATTTATGAAGAATTTCCATGGCCACTAAACGCAGCCATTTCACAATAATACTTTTTATTAAATGCAGTATAAATTACATATTTATAGGAATCCCCCAACCGAATGAGTGACAGTTTTCCTTCTCCGTGACTCCTCCCATTTCCAGGTATCGCCTCCCCTCCCAAGAATAGATTTGCTAGCCTTGGGTAGACAATGTGTGACTGCCTGACTGTCTGATTTGGGGTGATGTGCCCATGACAAGGGGAGACAAGTGATGGACAGTATAGGTATGGTCACTTACGCAGTACATTATTCCATCCACTATCTGTACTACTGCCAAGGTAGTAGGCATTATCACCCTAAAAAACATAGCATTTCCATACAGTGTGTCTCCACAATCTACACATGTAAACACTGTGCAATGTCAATAACTCCAAACAGGTATAAGAATATGTATTTCTTTGCTGTTTAAAAGCAGAAATTAAAAAATGATGATTCCATTTTTTTTCCCAGTCTTTTTAACTTTTTTTTCTATTACTCCAAATCATGTTTAAATTCATTGTAAATCTTGTTATAATACCTTGTATTTGAATTTCAGTTTCAAATCAATCAATATAGTTTAGTATCTATATAAAGACATCAGTTTAAAGTTTTTGTAACATTTTATAGTCAAACAGTTTTAATTATTCAATTTGACTTCCTAAAGTTTTTTTTCATTTTTTTATCAAAGCAGTTGCTCTGGAGAACCATGGTGGTTTTGAATTCTTTTTTTACTGTAATTAAACGAAACTGAACCAGGAAGACGACTCTGTATTAAGAGTAGGGTCATTTTAGCACCTTTCAATTTGCAATCAGATGAGGCACCTACAGAAACACAGGTCATAGTAAGTTTACATACATGGTTTGTACACGAAGTTCAGAACCAATGGTCTATCCAATGACTGACATGGTTAGGGATAAACTTGCATGGTAACTTAAGATCATTAAAACATCACATTTATTTTTATCATCATCGTTAACTTAACATTTTTATCATCATCGTTAACTTAACATTTTTATCATCATCGTTAACTTAACATTTTTATCATCATCGTTATCTTAACAATTAAATGAAAAATTGTGTTTATACAATAAAAATGAGGAGTGTAGACTTGAGAGTTTAATTAACAACTGAAGTAGAAGTGAAAGTGAATATTTGAATTATCAATATCATCAAAATCAAATACCCCTGGTACTTATCTGTAAAGATTGTCCAAATTTCAATAATATTAGTTTTTTGACATTGACAAAATATGTTTTACTTTCCTTCAACTTAAACCTTGTTGATATTTCAAACAGTTATGTCATTAAGTCATTTTTATATACTTCCAAAAATGGAACAATTATTTTTAACATTAAATCTACACAATTATTTCATTTAATTAACAATTATGACTTCCCATATAAAAATGGACATTTAATCATGCCCTTTATTTTTAATTTTTTTTTTTTTAGTAAATCACGTCCTCTATTTTTTATTTTTTTATTTTTTTATTTTTCTTTAATGGAGATTTTTTCATCTTTGTTTGCAAAATGAAAAAGCCCAATATTTGAGAAGTGACGATAATTAGACTTCAGACCACCTAACTTTAAAGAAGCCAAAATGGGTTGCATGCCGAATGCTTCTAAGTTTGCGCTACATGATCTCTGTTGACAGTACCAGGTAAAACACGTCAATGTTAACATGCAAAAACTATTGCATTTACATGTTTACAAACCATATGCAAAACTGAAAGCAAAATCATAAATAAATTAAGGAATTCAATAAATACCTTAAAACATGCTGTTTCAAACCCAATAAATGAAACAGAATCCTTACTTTCATTAACAAAACAAAATTAATTTACATAAAACAGAATAAACTTGTTTAAAATCATTAAATAAAATCTTATGTATTGACATACAAAACACATGTTTAAGCCATTACGATGGAAGACATTTTAATATATAGTATATTATGTCATAAAAAACAACTGGGCCATACAAATGCATCAAAAGGTTATCAAAAGGTATTCCTGCCAGTAAAAACACATGGACTGATAAAACTTCTCAAGCTCAACAGTGACATGGTCAGTCTACAGGTGTGGAAGTATAACAAGCTTTGGTGTTAACCCTCTATTTATCATAGGTAACCCAAGTATTTTTATCATAGATAACCCAGGTAACTCAGGTAGTTTTATCATAGGTAACCCAGGTTTAACTCCAGGTAGTTTATCATAGGTAACCCAGGTAACTTAATCACAGGCAACTTTTTTAATCAGGTAACCCAGGTAGTTTAATCATAGGTAACCCAGGTAGTTTAATTACCCAGGTAACTCAGGCAGTTTTATAATAGGTAACCCAGGTAACTCAGGTAGTTTTATCATAGGTAACCCAGGTAACTCAGGTAGTTTTATCATAGCTAACCCAGGTAACTCATGTAGTTTTATCATGCCTAACCCAGGTAACTCAGGTAATTTTATCATAGCTAACCCAGGTAACTCTGGTAGTTTTATCATAGCTAACCCAGGTAACTCAGGCAGTTTTATCATACCTAACCCAGGTAACTCAGGTAGTTTTATCATAGGTAACCCAGGTGACTCAGGTAGTTTTATCATAGCTAACCCAGGTAACTCAGGTAGTTTTATCATAGGTAACCCAGGTAACACAGGTAGTTTAATCATAGGTAACCCAAGTAGTTTAATCATAGGTAACCCAAGTAGTTTAATCATAGGTAACCCAAGTAGTTTAATCATAGGTAACACAGGTAGTTTAATCATAGGTAACCCAGGTAACTCCAGCAGTTTTATCATAGGTTAACCAGGTAGATTTACCATAGGTAACCCAAGTAGTTTAATCATAGGTAACTCATGCTAAATGCTTGTATGTCAGAAATGTATGAAGAAACTAAACTCATTTAAGTCCCACAGTTTAAACAGATATATATGGAGAAAATGAATCCTTATTAGATAAACATGTTATGTAGTTACTGTACATAAATACAGAGAAACTTCTACCAAGTCAAACATTTGCCCTACCCTGACATATTCTTTATTCACTCTGTATTGAGTTTGCCTATAATATGTAAGTACTATCTATAATTTGCTGTGTTATTACTTTTTTTGTGATGATACATTCAATTTCACAACAACTGGTAAAAAAAAAAAAATCAAACAAGAGCCAAAAGGTTTATAATACAAATTTGTATGGAGAAAAAAAAAACTTTATTTAAATGTAATAAAATGTTTTATTTGTACACTGTTTTAATTTAGTCACAAAAGTTAAAATAAAGAAGACGCTACCATATCGATTATCATAAACATAGTGACTATCGAACCTTTAGATAACTCTTGACTATAGTACAGGTCTAACCATAATGAAAGTTTACCTATATAATCACCATTAGTCAAATCCTGTTTAAATCTTCTTCCAGACATTGTTGATCAGTATGAAGCTAGCCCTGGAATGTTTGTGAGCTTTGCTGAAGCATTACCAATGCATGGTTTTCACCTTCTTGGAACCTATTTGACATTGAGCCTGTTACAAGCCTTCCCCCACTAGCAAACCAGAACACTAGGGAAGCAAAAGGTATTTGGATGAAATGAAATTCTCATACACACTGTCTATATATACTTACCTGAGCCCCTCCCTTGTCAAATATTTGTGGTAGACTGTAGCGCACCTGAGCATATTCATACATTTTATACATTTACACTGCTGTGTTCCATGTTCATATTTCAAAATTCTCTGCGAGTAATTTTTGACAGAAACTTTTTTTTTCAAAATGAGTCCTTGGTGGTCCCAAATTATGATGAAAGACAACATACACATGGACACTAAATTATGGTGTTTCCAAATTCCCGACATGAGGGGATTCTACCAAACACACTCAGTTCTATCAAACATTAAATGATTTTACAAAACACCATATATACAAAATGATTCTACTTCAAATCACTTGATCTAGATCTATTCAATAACAAGTGATTCTGCCAAATACCAAACTTTTTCTACCAGAAACTAAAGCTAACCACTTAACACAACCTGGTACACCATGAGATGATTTACAATACAAGTAACATTACAAATGGTCGTAACTTAAGAGATCAATAGTATTTAAATTATTTTCATAGGTTTTAAATGCCGTGATACTTCAACAGTGATCAGTGTTCATTTTTGTTTGTTTATATCAAGCGAAATCAGAAAAAAATATAAAGAAATTGTTTGATGTTAATTCTATCTATAGAGATGTTTTTCATAATATGAATTTAAGACTTTTCAAACAGAGAAAAAAAAATATATTAACACACAGGCAAAAGAAGTAGTACTACAAAAGAATTCAGAGCTACGTCAAAAAGTGACATTCAAACCACTAGTCATATACAGTGAAACTCACAAGACAATCTCTCAAACCACTAGTCATATACAGTGAAACTCACAAGACAATCTCTCAAACCACTAGTCATATACAGTGAAACTCACAAGACAATCTCTCAAACCACTAGTCATATACAGTGAAACTCACAAGACAATCTCTCAAACCACTAGTCATATACAGTGAAACTCACAAGACAATCTCTCAAACCACTAGTCATATACAGTGAAACTCACAAGACAATCTCTCAAACCACTAGTCATATACAGTGAAACTCACAAGACAATCTCTCAAACCACTAGTCATATACAGTGAAACTCACAAGACAATCTCTCAAACCACTAGTCATATACAGTGAAACTCACAAGACAACCTGAATTGAAAATGAGCAATACTTTAACACTTATGCTCCTTTCCGAAATTAAAATAGGGATGGTGAATACTTCAGGACAAAAATAATTTGATATGTTATCAACAATGCTTTTGCTATAAATGACTGCTGAAAGCCTGGTGGTGATGTTAACAACAGTCCACTTGGACTTCTCTGAAACAACACACAGAATCTAGAGATTACCAGCCTTTCAAGCCTTCCACAGCAACATAACTTGATACAAAATGACAAACAGTACAAGTCCCTGAAACCTAATGTCAATTAAAAAAAAAATAAATAAATAAAAATTGTTTTTATCTGCAATCACAAAGAAATGAAAAGGCATAATAAGATATGAAGTATGAAGCAATCAGACTTCATCTCGTTTCCACAGAGGGAAACCTTTCCCATCCTCTGAACCATCCTTTTTCCCCCATGGTGGTTGCACCCCTTGCTAATACACCCTTATGAATATTTCTTATCCATGAACCTTCCTCCATCCACTCCAGTGATTGCATCCCTTGCTAATTAATACACCCTTGCCAATCCTATCCCTGTGGTGGTCAAACTCCCTTCTGCAACAACCTAGTGAATATCTATCATCCTCTGACCCCTATCCCTTACCTCTGTGGTGGTTACACCCCCTGCTGAAACAACCTCGTGACTATTTCCCATCCTCTGACCCCTATGCCTACTCCTGTGGTGGTTTTACCCGTTGCTGATATACAATTGACCCCTACCCTTACCCCTGTCATGGTTACATCCCATGCTGATATACCCTCGTGAATATTTCCCATCCTCTGACCCCTATCCCTACCTTCTGTCATAGTCACAGCCCTTTCTGATGACCTAGTGAACACTTACAGTTGGTGGGATGTATTCCACAGATGACGACTGGTGCAGTGGTCGCTGTATTTCCTGTTTATTCCAGAACACGCAGCACAACATGGCTAGAGTTTGTACATCATGTAACCCACTGTAGAAGTCCATCCTATAAATAATTATATCAACATTGTACAAGTCTGTCCAATAAAGTTAATTATATCATTGTACAAGTCTGTCCTACATAGATAATTATGTCATTATACAAGTCTGTCCTATATAGTTAATTATATCAACATTGTACAAGTCTGTCCTATATAGATAATTTTATCAGCATTGTCTGTCCTGTATAGTTAATTATATCAACATTGTACAAGTCTGTCCTATATAGATAATTATATCATTGTACAAGTCTGTCCTATACAGATAATTATATCAACATTGTACAAGTCTGTCCTATATAGATAATTATATCAACACTGTACAAGTCTGTCCTATACAGATAATTATATCAACATTGTACAAGTCTGTCCTATATAGTTAATTATATCAACATTGTACAAGTCTGTCCTATACAGATAATTATATCAGCATTGTGCAAGTCTGTCCTATATAGTTAATCATATCAACACTGTACAAGTCTGTCCTATATAGATAATTATATCAACACTGTACAAGTCTGTCCTATACAGATAATTATATCAACATTGTACAAGTCTGTCCTATATAGATAATTATATCAACACTGTACAAGTCTGTCCTATACAGATAATTATACCAGCATTGTACAAGTCTGTCCTATATAGTTAATTATATCAACATTGTACAAGTCTGTCCTATATAGTTAATTATATCAACATTGTACAAGTCTGTCCTATGTAAATAACTACATAAATATTATTCCAATAAGAAAAGAAGTACCTTTATTCAGGATTTCTATAAAATAACATTGTCATAAGCTCAGAATTATATGTTCAGGTGCTTTAGACTATCAAAATAACAGCTCAGACATTTTTAAAGTAAATGACGGACTGCTGAATTAATTGTTTTTTCCCCTGTACTTAAAGATGCATACTTACATGTGTTTCAGTAGCTGTCTTGCAAATGGGTGTCTTCCCCAGGGACTACCATCATCTGGGTCTGAAGATGGAGCCAACCGTTTGTCTGACATCAGTGTCACCAGATTCCATAGCTGCAAATGAAAAAGCATGGGTCCTTGAAAATAAAACTGTTTTTTAAAGTACTGCAACAAATTATTTTTTGCTGTAGTTCAGCTTTTGCCTGTTTCAACTTACTGCAAACAGGGCAAAAATAAAGGATGGTTTTTGTTTGATCTTAAAGCTGAATTATAAAATCCTATGCATTTTATGGTAAATTCAACACTTAAAGTAAAAGGAACATTCATTATGTAAGGCAAAAAAAACTTCAATAAATGTTTCACTGAATATATTTTCCCCAAACTTTATTGTCAAAAGCCAGGGAACCTTAAAGATTAAGCTTATAATAATTTGAGAATTAAAAAGCTAATTATCTTCAAGTTCTATTTTACTATATTATCAATCTCTATGATAGTACTTAACTGTTTGCTGTGATGTAATTCACCTTAAGGATGATGTCACTTTGAAGACAGACTTCAGACTGGGTAACTGGTACTAAATGTCTACAGCCTTTCTATGATAATTACCTGTGTACACTAAATTAGACCTGTAGGTACCAGTCACACATATACTTTGTAATCAACTACTGATAACTAAGGGGAGTAACTCCTGTAGACTTGACTTGACCATGTGAAATTGAACAGTACAAGGTGTTGACATTATGTGAAATACAACAAGAGTGAGATACGGTAATAAGTACTTTAAAGTACAGTCATAGAAAGATTCACTCTCACTTATAAAATTATGAATGCCATCTCTCCTATGCAAACCAAAACTGTACAATTTGATGTTTTGATACCATGAGATAATTTTGAATTAAATCTGTTGCGAGATTCTCAAGTTATAAGATTGATTCAGGATGGAACTGGGGCAGACATTGATAACAATAAATGCCCCCAACCAAAAACTATGAACTAATAGAGGGCATTTCTCATAGATATATATATGAATGATTCTTCCATCCTAACACGGTGACCAACACTGGACAGAGCTTCGGTAATCGCTATTACCACCAGCTTACAGCCATCACAATTGATGTAACACCACCACTGACATAATTCTTGATTAAGGAACTTAACATGTGAATATTTTCTTTCACTCCTATTAGTATAAATACCTGTACTAGATCTTTCCTCCCGACACTAGCTGCCTGAGAAGCATTGTGTTGACACATTCCTGGTATGTCATCCAAGTCTATCCTGTAATTCATAATGTTCAGGTGTAAAATGAGCAATTATGAGAACTATCATGTGATGAAATAACAAAACATCTACGTCTCAGTTATCTGTAAGTGATGAGAAATGTTTTTTTTTCCTTGCTGTCTCAAGTCATCTACTCAATAAATTTTTCAAAAGATACAATATTTTGGAATAACAATTCAGTCCTACCTGTAATGTGTGGCGAGATTTACATTCTCATGTGTCCTACCTGTAATGTATGTGAGGTTTTACCTTTTCATGTCCTACCTGTAACGTGTGCTGAGATTAAATGTTTCACATGTTCTACCTGTAATGTGTGGCGAGATTTACCTTCTCACGTCCTACCTGTAATGTGTGCCGAGATTTACCATCTCACATGTCCTACCTGTAACGTATGACGAGATTTAATGTCTCACATGTCCTACCTGTAATGTATGCTGAGATTTAATGTCTCACATGTCCTACCTGTGATGTATGCCGAGATTTAATGTCTCACATGTTCTACCTGTAATGTGTGCCGAGATTTAACATCTCACATGTCCTACCTGTAATGTGTGCCGAGATTTTCCATCACACATGTCCTACCTGTAATGTGTGCCGAGATTTAATGTCTCACATGTCCTACCTGTAATGTGTGCTGAGATTTAATGTCTCACATGTTCTACCTGTAATGTGTGGCGAGATTTACCTTCTCACGTCCTACCTGTAATGTGTGCCGAGATTTACCATCTCACATGTCCTACCTGTAATGTATGACGAGATTTAATGTCTCACATGTCCTACCTGTAATGTGTGCTGAGATTTAATGTCTCACATGTCCTACCTGTAACGTGTGCTGAGATTTAATGTCTCACATGTCCTACCTGTAATGTGTGGAGATTTAATGTCTCACATGTCCTACCTGTAATGTATGCAGAGGTTTAATGTCTCACATGTCCTACCTGTGATGTATGCCGAGATTTAATGTCTCACATGTCCTACCTGTAATGTGTGCCGAGATTTAACATCTCACATGTCCTACCTGTAATGTGTGCCGAGACTTTCCATCGCACATGTCCTACCTGTAATGTGTACCGAGATTTAATGTCTCACATGTCCTACCTGTAATGTGTGCTGAGATTTAATGTCTCACATGTCCTACCTGTAATGTATGCAGAGGTTTAATGTCTCACATGTCCTACCTGTGATGTATGCCGAGATTTAATGTCTCACATGTCCTACCTGTAATGTGTGCTGAGATTTAATGTCTCACATGTCCTACCTGTAATGTGTGCCGAGAATTTCCATCTCACATGTCCTACCTGTAATGTGTGGCGAGATTTAACATCTCACATGTCCTACCTGTAATGTGTGCCGAGATTTTCCATCGCACATGTCCTACCTGTAATGTGTGCCGAGATTTAATGTCTCACATGTCCTACCTGTAATGTGTGCTGAGATTTAATGTCTCACATGTCCTACCTGTAATGTATGCAGAGGTTTAATGTCTCACATGTCCTACCTGTGATGTATGCCAAGATTTAATGTCTCACATGTCCTACCTGTAATGTGTGCTGAGATTTAATGTCTCACATGTCCTACCTGTAATGTGTGCCGAGATTTAACATCTCACATGTCCTACCTGTAATGTGTGCCGAGATTTTCCATCTCACATGTCCTACCTGTAATGTGTGCCGAGATTTAACATCTCACATGTCCTACCTGTAATGTGTGCCGAGATTTTCCATCGCACATGTCCTACCTGTAATGTGTGCCGAGATTTAATGTCTCACATGTCCTACCTGTAATGTTTGCTGAGATTTAATGTCTCACATGTCCTACCTGTAATGTATGCAGAGGTTTAATGTCTCACATGTCCTACCTGTGATGTATGCCGAGATTTAATGTCTCACATGTCCTACCTGTAATGTGTGCTGAGATTTAATGTCTCACATGTCCTACCTGTAATGTGTGCCGAGATTTAACATCTCACATGTCCTACCTGTAATGTGTGCCGAGATTTTCCATTTCACATGTCCTACCTGTAATGTGTGCCGAGATTTAATGTCTCACATGTCCTACCTGTAATGTGTGCTGAGATTTAATGTCTCACATGTCCTACCTGTAATGTGTGCCGAGAATTTCCATCTCACATGTCCTACCTGTAATGTGTGGCGAGATTTAATGTCTCACATGTCCTACCTGTAATGTGTGCCGAGATTTTCCATCTCACATGTCCTACCTGTAATGTGTGCTGAGATTTAATGTCTCACATGTCCTACCTGTAATGTGTGGCGAGATTTACCATCTCACATGTCCTACCTGTAATGTGTGGCGAGATTTAATGTCTCACATGTCCTACCTGTAATGTGTGCCGAGATTTAACATCTCACATGTCCTACCTGTAATTTGTGCCGAGAGTTTTACTGATAGGTAACAGATAACTGCTATCATAGACCTTCACCGGGGCTAAATTAGGACCTTTCTGTTTGTCTATATCTTCACTCTTGTCCACCTTAGATTTCATTCTCAAGCTGTTCTTCTTCTGAAAATTCAAAAATTCTCGAATTATTACTCCAAATTTTACCTTCAACCTTTCTATTTTCTAAGGTGAAAGAAACAAAACATGCAACTGTGCTAGTCAACAACTTTATATGAAAATTGATGGGATCTCATAGACACAAGTTCTATGAACAGAAAAATCTCAAATCCAAAAAGGAAGAGTTTGGCAATCTAGAACAAAGCTTTGTCACTTAATAGATTATAATACTGTTTCCTGTAGACTCCTGAAGGCTATAAGATTTTGTTGCCCAGAGAACATCCAAATGTTTGAAGATCTTTCTACCACGTTTTCAATGATGCTATGACACATACAATTCTACACAAAAGCACACGCAGGCAATCTTTTCCTTGGGGACAGAATAAGATAACATCTTCTCCTCTTGAGAGACACAATTATCTTCATAAGGTAATCTTGGTTTTTCTCATGGTGTAAGAAAATGATATTGTTGACTATGATGTGAACAGACTTATCTCAAACTGAAAGTCATTTTTTGAAGTTTCATAACACAGATGTATCTTTTCCAAGCAAACTATGAAAGCATGGAAGAAAAAAATTATCTACTGACAGCTTATCAAGACAAGATTTTTCTAACAAATGTGTGTACAGAAGCAGAAAGACAACAGAAGCAAATCCATCTCCAATACATTTTTAACTGTGTACTCTTAGCATACAACACTAAAATCTTACCTTCTGTTCTTTATAATAATAGGACTTGATAGTGAAGGGATCAGAAGTAGTAGGAGGACTGCGAGCAAATGAGTACTGTTGGTACGGGGTCGGGGCAGCATGAGTGCTCCAAATTTTTGCTCGGGAACTGTATTGTGTTAGCTCTGATAAAGCCCTGAAAGACAAAATATAGGTATTATATATAGGTATAATTGTTGATGTTTATAGAAGTTTAATACAAGTCTGAATCTATTCAGAAACATCTATTAATGAATTACAACAAACAATATATATCGACAACATATTATTATAAATTCTAATTTACTGCAAAACGTAATTATTTAATTGGCCAATTCAGATACTTTGCGACAGTATTACAAATTTCTCTTTTCACATTTAATCTGGATGATGATTGTTAATGAAGTCCATGGCCTCAACATGTTACAAAAATAATATTAGGAACCATGGCTTGACCCAGAAAGTTCTCCCTATTGAATGTTACTGGTGTCAACAATTGTGATCAAGATTGTTCAGATTTCTAAAATTATAAACAAAAAGAGCAATTATTTATGAGGCTTACTTTGGGGTCAGGTAAGACTTACTTTCGGGTGTTGTCAGACTTTATTTTGGGTTGTGGGGGGTACACACTTACTTTGAGGTATGACAGTACAAATTTTAGGGAGTGGTTAGGCTAAATTTGGGATGTAGTCAGAATTACTTTAGGGTGTAGTCAGACTTTGGGGTGTGGTCAGACTTTCTTTGGGTAGGGGCCTGACTTACTATGGGGTATTGTCAGATTTACACTGAGGTGTTGTGAGACTTACTTTGGGGTGCAGTCAGACTTACTTTGGAGTGTGGTAAAACTCACATTGGGGTGTGGTCAGACTTACTTTGGGGTGGTGCCAGACTTACTTTGGGGTGTGGTCAGACATGATTTGGGATGGGGCCAGACTTACTTTGGGGTGTGGTCAGACTTACTTTGGGGTGGTGCCAGACTTACTTTGGGGTGTGGTCAGACATGATTTGAGGTGTGGTCAGACTTACTTTGGGATGTGGTCAGACTTACTTTGGGGTGGTGCCAGACTTACTTTGTGGTGTGGTCAGACATGATTTGGGATGGGGCCAGACTTACTTTGGGGTGTGGTCAGACATGATTTGAGGTGCGGTCAGACCTGCTTTGGGGTGTGGTCAGATATACTTTGGAGTGTGGTCAGATCTACTTTGGGGTGTGGTCAGACTTACTTTGGGGTGTGGCAAGACTTACTTTCGGGTATGGTCAGACCTACTTTGGGGTGTGGTCAGACCTACTTTGGGGTGTGGCAAGACTTACTTTGGGGTGTGGTCTGCTCCTGTCCTTGCTTTCTTAGCTTCCCTGGCTCTCCCAAATACAACAAGATATCCTACACAAATAATCACATCAATAAAGAATCAGCGATTAATTTTTGAAAATCTTGCTGAGACAGAATAACAGGAATAGTTAGTAAGAAAATACAGAAACATTTAGAAAGGCATCCAATCTGAGTTCAACATATCACTACAATAACTGTCACAGGTACTAGTGTTTGGAGGAAGAAACTTAGAGCCATATCCCACATCTGTAACTAAGATTTTTAATCTGATCTGATGATACTTTCAAAGTATTTTTAAGTTGGATTTTGTGCCATTTTGTTTCCAAGAAGCCTTTTTGAATCCAGAATTCAACTGTCCTAATTTTTTAGTATAATTCACATTGCAGAAATACGGTCCATAACACTAATCTGCCACACAGGAAATGAGCCTCACTAGTGTATAAGGAGGTATTCTTCTTCAGTATATGACAAAGCTAGAACTAACCTGTAGCACCGAAGTACGCCTAACAGGTATAGAGGGGGTCACTTTCTTTCATATATATCAAAGTTAGCATTAACATGTGGCCTAGAAACACTGGTACAGGACATAGGAACAATATTCTACAATACGGTCAAAACACTGGTACAGGACATAGGAACAATATTCTACAATACGGTCAAACTTTGTTATCTCAAAGTCAATGGGAAAACTTCAAGTTATCAAATTATTTGATTTAAGTAAGATAAAATGTTTAGAGTAAAGTTTGGCTTGGATTGACAAAATACTTTGAATTATACACGGTCTTTGAGTTATACGAGTTTGAGATAACAAGGTCTGAGTGTATATTGAAAACAGGTGATCACCTGCTGCACAGAAGCGTGCCCCACTGGTGCGGGGAAATGGAATGTTGTGATCCGACATGTAATGATATGGACTATAGTGGGGTGGAAACTTGTTGTGGCCATGGAGCTGTTTTGTTGGTTTGTGAGCAAATGGCAGATGCATGGGTGTTTCTGATTCTGGAGTTCTTCTGTCATCAACCTGTTGTATGATAAAAAGACAAAAGTCTGATCTGCAAAATCACACAAAAATTAATTCTCTCTACACTCCTACATTTTTTATTCCAACAAATCAAGGAACCTGACAGCAGTACATCAGTAGATTATTTCTAATTTGTAAATCTGTACAAATAGATCAAACTTTCTATCCCACCAGACAGAAATATCCATACTTCCTGTAAGGGTAAGATTAATAGAATCTTCCCCTACCCTGAGGGTGTGATAGAGAAATCTCCAACCTGAGGGGTGATTTTTGTTGTTGTCTAACCCGAGGCTCTGCCGAGGGTTAGACTACAAAAAAATCACCCCGAGGGTTGGAGATTTCTCTGTCACATCCTCTGAGGGTAGGGGTTGATTATTTTTCTCCCACCCCATTATTTCTGCCACGACGTAAACAAAATCCCACGGTACAAGTGTCTGAATGGCGCATGAATATCACCATTCACGTTTCCAAAATTCTACATTCTTCCGCGAGAGCAAAAATGACAGACTACAAACGCAATATGAATAACCATTAGAAATATTAATTTTGTGGAAATTAAATATTTTAATTAGAGATAGATACATGGAAATACTTGTATTGAACAACATTTAACTCTGTATCATTTATTAAGGTAGCGTAGGCTTGCCGCGATGTCATGGACAAAAAGGGGATTTCCCAGTTTATAATGACGTCAATTGTTTATGCGCGCGAAAAATTGCAATGGTGCGAGTGTCACGCGTGTGTTCATTCAGAATCAGTCATAGATGATCCTCCGACGTTTATTTGTGTTCACTGGACAAGGATTGATATAGTTAATGTTAACTGTGATGTTACAGTCGCGCATTACGGAACCTGCAAACAAAGCATCCACTCGTCGGTTTGAGTAAGTTGTGATAGCCGACTGAGGTCACCGAGTGCAGTCATGTGGGATAGATTTATTCTCCATGGGTGTTCCACATGGGACATGTCTATCCTACATGGGCTGAGGTGGGAGAAATCTCTATCTTACCTTGGCAAGTCAGCCTGCACACACAGGAAGTGACATTTCAGGGTCATGTAATTGTTAATGACGTCACTTTTATGACATGTCGAGGTCAGTTGTGGTCATTGACAATTGTCATCTGGGCCTCAAATGCAAATGACCATGGTTATAATCCCTAGCTGGAGGTTTTGACGGAGAAATATCTTCCTACCCTCCAGCTAAGGAAAGATCCTGTAAATCTAGTCACATAAGCTATATAATTTAGACAGAAAACACTTTACATTTTGTCTTCATAAACATTACATTAATAATGACATGGTTTTTCTATGTAAGCAAAGATTCTTTGCTGTTCAATAGTTCAATTTCAAGTCGATTAAAAAATTTCTGTACTCACATAGAAGTAACTGATAAGTTTTTCTTTTATTCCTGCTAACTCAATGCATAATATTCCAAACATGATGTTATTAAATTCTATACTATGAAATCAAGCCATTCTAATGACAAGGAAATCCTACAATCTCTACCCTAAGCTAAGAAAAAGAAATCTCACACTGATAAAAGTGTGGATACACCTGTCCAGGGTACGAGAAAAAGAAATCTCACACTGATGAAAGTGTGGATACACCTGTCCAGGGTACAAGAAAAAGAAATCTCACACTGATGAAAGTGTTGATACACCTGTCCAGGGTACAAGAAAAAGAAATCTCACACTGATGAAAGTGTGGATACACCTGTCCTGGGTACAAGAAACAGAAATCTCACACTGATAAAAGTGTGGATACACCTGTCCTGGGTACAAGAAACAGAAATCTCACACTGATAAAAGTGTGTATACACCTGTCCTGGGTACAAGAAACAGAAATCTCACACTGATGAAAGTGTGGATACACCTGTCCAGGGTACAAGAAAAAGAAATCTCACACTGATGAAAGTGTGGATACACCTGTCCAGGGTACAAGAAAAAGAAATCTCACACTGATGAAAGTGTGGATACACCTGTCCAGGGTACAAGAAAAAGAAATCTCACACTGATGAAAGTGTCTCACACTGATGAAAGTGTGGATACACCTGTCCAGGGTACAAGAAACAGAAATCTCACACTGATGAAAGTGTGGATACACCTGTCCAGGGTACAAGAAACAGAAATCTCACACTGATGAAAGTGTGGATACACCTGTCCAGGGTACAAGAAACAGAAATCTCACACTGATAAAAGTTTGGATACACCTGTCCTGGGTATGAGACACATATCAACAATTTATTGACATATATAACAACTCACCGTAAGTTTCTCGAGGGAGGTGGCCAGCTGTCTGAGGACCGGCTCCAGACAGTTAGTGTTCCTGGTAACATGCTTCAGACAGATATCTGTCAGGCCCTGTAACCATAGCAACAGTGATAAACTTAATAAGCATGCAAGTAAAAGTCAGTAATCTTCTCAATCATGTTTCAGTTTACATATACATTCAAGACAATTTTGCACAAAAAATGTTAAAAATAATGTAAAATGTTTAAGGAAAAAGTAAAACTTGTAAATATCTTATATCAACGTTGTAAATTATTGTTTCATTAAAAATCTAAATGAAGATGTTACACTACATTAAGGGTAATTGGTAAGGATATACTTTTAACAATGAATATGAGTGTATAGTGCTGTGTAATATTACTCTTCTAACTCTAACTAACCTGCTGTCAATTTTATTGTCTTTAATACAGCAACAGGATTTATCAGTTACGTGATAAATATTTTCAAATTTTTTTCTCATATCAATGCCTTTATATTAAATGTGAGAACCAAATTAGTCAATACCAGTTTGGTTGACTGAATCCTGAGTTGTCATTTCAATGGAAAAAAAATTTTAAAATGAAATCACAATGGCTATTTCTTGCTCCGTAATGGATAAAAAGGCAGAGACTATACTGAAGATGTTAACTGATGTAAAAGAGCATGAATACAGACCAGATGAAGGCGCTGTTGTACTTTGTTTTTGATGGTGGCGAATAGGATATCCAGACTAGGCATGTCGTTGTTGGGGTAGTTGTCCGGGAACACGAGCTTCAGACGTACATTATGGTTGTTGGCTATTGCTAACACTATACATGTCCGGGTGGTAGGGTTCAACTGTGAAAAAGAATAAATCCTACATCATCCTCAGGGCTTTCACACCCCATTTTGGGACTGGGGCCCTGGGCCCTTAGAATTGGAAAAACTTGGGGTCTAAATTGGGAAAAAAGATACTATTTTGCATTGGGAATGGGCCAAATATCGGTCCCAAATCTGGCAGATCGAGAGCCCTGATCCTATCACTACTAATTAGATTTTCTTCGATACCATGTTATTTTTCCTGTTAATCAACAACCAATTCCTTTGGAATAATTATCACAACATTTTTTCTGGTTTTCTTTCCAATATTAACATGAAAATTTCATTCGGATGGGGTATCATTGTCTTTCTCCACTTAAACCAATGAAAATCCTTGTCTTAGAATGTACATACCTCTTCAACAACAATATTTGGTATCTCAACATTAACCAATGAAAACTCTTGTTTTAGAGTACGTGGCTGCTGTGCTGTGATACTGTCTGGGCTGCCTGATGGTTGACGAGTTGTCTCCCCTCCTTCTCCCTCTTCAACCTCATAGCTATTTGTACTACTGACCAGGGATAGAGCACCTAGGTCTTCACCGTCTGGCAAGTCTCCAACATCATGACCACACAACTATACAACACAAATCGTAACATGCCAATATCATGTCTGCACAATTTTTATCACCAGGAAGTCAGCAAAGGGCGTGTAATGTGCCCAAGTACCTATGTACTCCGTTAACAAGTTCAGAAAATGCTGCAACACTGATCACATGTATTTATGATCTATGGGTGACAAAGTGTTCTAAGTGAATAAAATCCTATTTTTAACACACCAAATTAAAAAGATGTTTTAGAATTTTTAACACACCAAACTAAACTATGTTTTAGAATTTTTTGAATACACCAAATTAACCTAACGTTTTATAGCAAGAGAGATCTTTGCCATTTTTGAGGTTGGAACCAGACTGAGAAAGATCAGCACCTAGAAATGTAATAAATGAATAAAACAACAGCCCATTCCATGACTCCAATAAAAAAAACACCCTTTTTTCTCAAGATTTGGGTAAAACCATGCAAATCTGAATCCTTAATAACAAGAGGCCTAATAGGGCCTGAATCACTCACCTGGCTTTGCTTGGTTGAAATTGCTTCATTCAAACTACATGAAAAGGAATTCTAAATATCCAAGCACACAACACAAAACCTATCTACTTTCCTATTGGACCCCAACCCTCTGTCTTCAGAGGGGTCAGTCAAACCATTTATAGTTCAGACCATATCATTTCTACAGGAGGAACTTACTATATTTCCCCTATTAAGCCATGTCCCTCCTTCACCTAAAGGGCCAAGACCTAACACCTATACAAGATTGATTGCACTTCAACCAAGGATGCTTCAGATGAAATTTGTGCAAAATCCAATCATTCCTACAAAATAAGTAGGATTTTTGAAAATTTTTACCTTTTCTAATATCCCGCCCCACCCCGCCCCGCCCCGAGGCCAAGACCCATTATTTATAAAAAAAACCTTGATTCCTCTTGACCAAAAAATGTGTCAGAAAAAAATTTGGACAAAATCCAATCATTCCTACAGGTGGAGTAGGAATTTTAAGAATTTACTCTATTTCCCTTATTGGGCCCCATGCTTCCTTCTCTCGAGGGGCCATGACCTAACGTCTGTACGAGATTGATTCCACTACACGCAAGAACACTTCTGACAAAATTTGTACAAAATCCTATCATTTCTATAAGAAAATTAGGATTTTTAAGGAAATTACTCTGTTTCCACTATTGGGCCCTGCCACTATCGCTCCTAAGGCCATTTTGCCCTTTTAGCCAGGTGAGGTAAAAATAATCACAACTCCTTTTAGAATTTTAGAAGAGTAACAGATGTTCTTACTAACCTTCTGATGTTGTAGGTCTACCTTCCATACACGAAGGGTTTGGTCCCGGGCCCAAGTGACTAGCTGAAAGTCACGATCCTCTTCTGTCTGCTTCCGCCATTGGAATTCCAAAATTGCATCCCGATGGCCCATGAACTGGTGTACAAGTTGGACATTGTCTTCAATGGTCCAAAGATACAGAGAATTGTCTCCCCTTCTAATCTGTGGCACAGCTACACTGACTAACCCATGGCCGAATGGCTGAAATTGAGAGAGAACAAAGAACATATTAAAAGTCTAACACCTCATGAGCACTGTCAACTGTTATCAGAAACATCTGTAAGATACTCATGACCCAATGGCATGCATATCATTCATGAATTTATAGAAGTTGTCAAATGTGACCTTTGACCTTTCAGCCTTGACCACTTTGATACAAAAAATGTAGAACTTATGTTATGGTACTATTGAGTAAATCTGAACCAAATCTGTTGAGAGATTCTTAAGATATAACATTGATTCAAAATGGAACATGGATGGGACACCACGTCATCAAGTCTTAAAAATATTCACTAATTACCTATTCTTAAAAAAATTAACTTATCAGTGAGCAAAATAAACAAAATGTTATTACTCTATAGAGTGATGCAAGCCTGACAGTTCTTAAATAAAACATTTTAGTACATGTGCTGTACTACTTTCTACAGAATCTTCTACAAATGATAATCACAATTGACCAAGTACAGTGCATACCAAAAACTGCTCAAGTGAAAAAATAGGTGAGACAAGAGAATCCACCACACAATTATTCCAAAGTGTAGACAAATCAGGAATGATGAAAGATATGATGCTAAATATCTACAATAATGTACTAGGACACTGAAACAGGTCAGTAAAAACTGACTGTATACCTTCCAAGTCATCAAGTGGAAACTACTACTACAAGTGGAGATGCATCATCTCAAGACCACTGATCCTCTAAAAGTACTTTTCTTATTAACCATGGCAACGGATTTCCTGGAATATTTAACTGACTGGATCCAGTAAAAACAAAGATTCAGGGAAATCCGACCATCTTTATATTTGACCAATCAGGAGCCTCTGTTGTGTGCCTTGATAACTGATTTGGATTTACCTGAGTATTAATCAGAGATAGCCAGTAAATCAAACAGACACCTCAAGAGTTACAGCCATTTTCTCATAGACACAATAATGGTGGCCAAATACCACATCAATTAAAATTGTTCAGATAACTAGAAAATGTCTATTAATCTTGTATGTCTTTATTGTCTAACTTACCGTGTACCGTGCTCTCCACACTGGACATCCGGCAGACATGGAACCTTTAGCCTGTCGGAAATTGGTAACATCCCAGAACTGTAAAGGAAACCATTACATGGTGATTTCAGTGTATTTAGCGGCAGTGATATCCGTCAAAAACTGTTTTACAAAAACATATTCTATTATATCTTCAATTTTTTCATGAATGACAAATCAGTATTTAACTTGCCATTCTGCCTCCAATAATATTGTTTTTCTCTGCTTCATGTAACATAGCCCCATCCACTAGGATGTATATTACCTACATGAGCACATTACTGTAATTTTGTCTATACATTCTTATACAAAATTCAAATGATAAAATAACACAGAGTCTGAAAAAGAAACTTCTATCACTTGTCAATATTTAATATGATTGTCAGAAACCCAATTCTATTTGGTACTTTTCACAGTCAAGTAGGATAAACATCTTATTCTGAGATGTTGAACATTCCACACCAGCTATTTGCTGGGTTGAGTAAAGGGCTATCACACTCATAGTCAGGTCAAAGGTTACATACTATTTACCATGTATATTTGTCGTTTTCAATGTACTTTGGGAGAATTAATATTCTCAATCCCTCTGGCAAACTTTTTTCCAGGTATCAAATTCACTTGAAAAAGTCCGTAGAAACATTCAAGTACACGTGCACTCAACATAACATGCTTTATGTGTTAGACTGGCCTTGTAACAGGCAAACACACAAACACCAAAAGCATACAACACAGGTACTAATGAACATGTGATGTTATACTGTACCTTGACAGAGCCATCCTGGCTTGCAGTGGCCAGACAATTTTCATTGTGTGGACTCCAGTCAAGACCATGGATCTTCGACAAGTGAGCTGCTATGTAAGTCAGCGGAGAGTTCCCTTTCTGAAAGTGAGAAATGTGCCGATCGTTGAACAGAAGTAACAAGTTAGATAAGGACCATCTTACAATGACAGAAACAACAGGGTCAGAGGGCCTGTATCACTCCCTCACATAGATAATGATGTCCAAATAACCATCATTTGCTTGATAATCTTTTGTTAAAGTACCAATGTAACTCACAAATGAATACAGTATCTATAACGTAACATGGAATGGTTGCTCTTGATACTTCGGGTTTCCAATAGTGGATGTTTTTAAAAACAAAATCTTACCCTTGTGAACCTGGAAGTCATTTTTTAAGGAAATTCTGTAGACTTCCATCCTGCTTGCAAATTATCAGGCCCTATGACTTTTGAAACATGAGAATATTTTTGATCATATTTGAACAACCCCTCCCCCACCTCCTCCCACAATCTTGATTATTTGAGAAGTTTAATTATATGATAAAACATCAGTACACTGACATCACTTGAGAAAAAGAATCTCAAAATATTCTCACATATCTGAATCTTCTGACATTAACACAAACATCTAGGTGAATATTTATAGGGCTCCATCCCAGGTACCTACTGGCCAAATACAGGACTCTGGGTCTTCTTGAAATTGAAAAAAAGATTTTGCAAAAAGCTTTTAACATATTTGACCCATGAAGCCTTCATAACAAAGATATTTTCTGGCACAATACCAGTATTGTGGAGGTTTCTGGAAATTTATAACATGTTTCCTGAATGTTTTAACATATCTGACCTTTAAAATAGCTGAAAGTCATTGATACAATGCATGATGAAACTTCAGCCAAATATCGATACACATGGTCTTCTCGAAGTTTTATTGACCCCTGTAGCCTTAAATATAGGCCTATATCATTTATATGAGGAAACATGAGAAAACTGTCTAGTTCTTTATCCCAGGGGTATTTTGCCAAAACATCACTATCCAGTTCCATAGAGTTTTCTTAAAGTAAAATTTGACAGACAGCAAAGGACCGAGGATGGAACCTTTATCATATCACAAGCACACAGACACTTTATGCTTTATGAGCTAAATATGATTACTGAATGCTGGAATGTGTATGGTTTATACCCTAGGAGCAAATCGAGACAAAATAATACAATTATTTACTATTTCATAACCATGACATTTTCTAGTAGCATTATAAGGATCAAACTGGGTTTCATCTTCTTTGATTTCTTTTTTTCCCCCCAAGCCAATGTCAGGTTTGTACAAAATACATATATTCTACAAAGATAAAAAACATTTGTGGATACTTTACATTTTGACAAATATTTGACAATTAACATGTCAAATGAATTCAAGTAACTGTAGGGTTTTGATACTCCAAATATTCGCTTTCACAAATAGTTATCAACTTGTAGATGGTTCAAAAAACAAAACTGTTCTTTTTCACTAAATACAAAACTTCCTATAAATTTAAATATTGTTACCTTTGGTTTGTTCATACTGATACAATGTGAAATATCATTTTCTGTAAATACCACAGCAGTAAGACTTGTTTAACTTCCTAATTGCTACCAGTTGATTTTGCCATTATACATGTTTAAAGCAACATATATCTCTAACGTTTTTTCACAGTATTGAATCAACATACCCGTGGGTCCCAGAGACGAACATCACCTTCATGTGTTGTGGCAAACTGATTGGTCTGGATTTTATTCCACATAACTTGTGAGGCCCCAGCTGTGGAATGAAAAGTGAAGGTAAGTACAAAATCAAACAAGACGTTATCCTGTATGTACAGTTCAATGAGAAACAACATCAAATATCAATGATCTTAAGGGCTTTATATATACTCAACAAAAAAAGAAAGCTAACATGTTTCCTTGGCGAATACCTGTAAATGAGTGAAAACAAAATGACGTTTATGCAATATTAGAAAATGGTAATGTTTTACATTACAAAATCCAAGGGGGTTACCAAAATCATTCAAGTGTGAAAGTCTGTATTAGCGAAAGAGCTGCACGAGGTTTTCTGCGACTAACTTGTATCTTCACTTGAATTTCATAAACATTCAAACTGACAACTGTTACTCAGATCCTTAGGACTTAGAAATCACCGAATCTTGCTATCTATCAACTTTATCATTATGCCCCGGCTGTCACAAGTACAAAGAGAAAGGGCTGTAGGCATGATCCAGGCTGGGGAGTCTCGCCGTGGAGTTGTGCGGCATTTTGGTTGCAGTGTTAAGACAATTTGCCAGTTGGTAAGTCGTTTAAACCAAACTGGGTCAACATCCAATCGTCCCCGAAGCGGTCGACCCCGTAAAACGACCACCAGGGATGACCGTTGTATACGATTGATACACTTACGCAATCGATTCGTAACCGCAGTAGAGACTACAAGGACATTGTTTGGGCGTCGTGCGTCTCCCCAAACAGTCCGCAACAGGTTGAGGGCCAACCAATTGAAAGCGCGGCGTCCCTACACTGGACCCAATTTGTTGCAACGTCACCGTAATAATCGGCATAACTGGACCCGTGTTCACCGTCGTTGGGCCTTACGACAATGGAACAATGTTCTGTTTCCAGATGAGTCCAGGTTTTGTCTGCAACACGATGACGGAAGGCGCAGAGTGTGGAGGCGACGAGGGGAGCGTTTTGCGAACTGCTGAGTCGCAGAACAGGAATGCTTTGGCGGCGGAAGTGTAATGGTTTGGGGTGGTATTTGTGGTGGGACCCGTACCAGGCTTGTTGTGTTAAATGGCAATTTAACTGGCATTCGATATCGGGACGAAATTTTAAGACCAGTGGTTCTGCCATTCTTAAGACGCCATGGCGTTGGCGCCATTTTTCAACAGGATAACACACCAGCGCACACCAGTCGCGTCAGAAGAACTTTCTTGTAGCAGAATGACGTACAGGTGTTAGATTGGCCATCTAAATCACCTGATTTGTCACCGATTGAGAATGTCTGGGACGTTTTTCGGCGACGCATGAGAGAACGTCAAAATCAGCCGTCAAACTTGCAGGAGCTGGTCCAAGCCTTGATCGCTGAATGGAACAACATCTCTCCTCGAATTATCCGCCGGTTTACGAGTTCCATGCGACGATGCTGCAATGCTGTTTACTTCGCAAACGGTGGCCATACCCATTATCAATGGTGTTATCTTTGAAATTGACCCCAATGTCCTTTACAGTCGAATAAAATCAACTGAACGCAAAGTTTTATAATGAACCATGACTGCAGTTTTATCAGAATTGATCAATTACTTTATTCGTACATGATTAGTAAGGATTTATGAAGGGGTTAATTAATTAATCACAGAATAAAGTAGTGTTACCTTTCTTTTTTTGTTTAGTATATGTTCACACTATCTCTCAGCACAGCGATTCCAACCTCCTGTCTCACTACAGTAATACCCAGCTCCTGTCTCACTCTAGCAATACCAACCTCCTGTCTCACTATAGCAATACCAACCTCCTGTCTCACTATAGCAATACCATCCTCCTGTCTTACTCTAGCAATACCAACCTCCTGTCTCACTATAGTTATACCAACCTCCTGTCTCACTCTAGCAATACCAACCTCCTGTCTCACTATAGCAATACAAACCTCCTGTCTCACTATAGCAATACCATCCTCCTGTCTTACTCTAGCAATACCAACCTCCTGTCTCACTATAGCAATACCAACCTCCTGTCTCACTCTAGCAATACCAACCTCCTGTCTCACTATAGCAATAACAACCTCCTGTCTCACTATAGTAATACCAACCTCCTGTCTCACTATAGCAATAACAACCTCCTGTCTCACTATAGTAATACCAACCTCCTGTCTCACTATAGCAATACCAACCTCCTGTCTCACTATAGCAATAACAACCTCCTGTCTCACTATAGCAATACCAACCTCCTGTCTCACTATAGCAATACTAACCTCCTGTCTCACTCTAGCAATACCAACCTCCTGTCTCACTATAGAAATACCAACCTCCTGTCTCACTATTGCAATACCAACCTCCTGTCTCACTCTAGCAATACCAACCTCCTGTCTCACTATACCCAACCTCCTGTCTCACTATAGTAATACCAACTTCCTGTCTCACTCTAGAAATACCAACCTCCTGTCTCACTATAGTAATAGCAACCTCCTGTCTCACTATAGCAATACCAACCTCCTGTCTTACTATAGCAATACCAACCTCCTGTCTCACTATAGCAATACTAACCTCCTGTCTCACTCTAGCAATACCAACCTCCTGTCTCACTATAGCAATACAAACCTCCTGTCTCACTATAGCAATACCAACCTCCTGTCTCACTCTAGCAATACCAACCTCCTGTCTCACTATAGCAATACCAACCTCCTGTCTCACTATAGTAATACCAACTTCCTGTCTCACTCTAGAAATACCAACCTCCTGTCTCACTATAGTAATAGCAACCTCCTGTCTCACTATAGCAATACCAACCTCCTGTCTCACTATAGCAATACCAACCTCTTGTCTCACTGTAGCAATACCACTCTCCTGTCTCAATATAGCAATACCAACCTCCTGTCTCACTATTGCAATACCAACCTCCGTCTCACTATAGTAATACAAACCTCCTGTCTCACTATAGCAATACCAACCTCCTGTCTCACTATAGTAATACCAACCTCCTGTCTCACTATTGGAATACCAACCTCCTGTCTCACTTTAGCAATACCAACCTACTCTATCACCACAGCAATACCTGCTTAGTGTCTCAGCATGCAAAATGCCCATGTACTGTCTCAGTAAAGTAATAGACACCTACTAACAATAATGCACAGTAATACCCCCTACTGTCTCAGGACAGCAATTCACAGATGGCTACTTCAATGAGTAACACATTGGATGCCTACAGCAAAACCACAGAACCTCTTGTGCAGTGATCTTCAAACAACAGATTTTGTATTTACTGACATTTATCATGACTCTCATGTAGATACATTAACACTGGGAAGATACGATGATTGCACTCTCTGATATATACCACATTACATAGTTCATTCCCCACTATAGTTCTGTTTGAATTTATACTCAAAAGTATCAATAAAAGATAACCCTTTTTATATGTCCATCAGGTTTCATCTTCTCTGGTGAACAGGCTCCCAGGTGGCAAAATCACATGAACCCTTTAAGGTTTGTCTGCCATGCAAATGACCTATTGTAAAACACTATCTGATTGGCCTTCTGCACAAAAGCTAACCAATCACACAGCCCGTTTCACTTTTACTTGTGTCTCTATTCCTGGAAACTAGTTTCACTTATATTTTTCAATATTTCTATTTAATTAGCTGTTTCTATGTTTTGTAAATTTTTTTTTTCAGCAAAAAATCTAGAACAAGACCAATAATTTACACGGGTATGGTAGATTTTAATTTGGATCTGTGCTGTTATCATGCATAATGTGTATCTTGATTCATAAGTTCACCAATGTATTGTCCATGTCCGAATATAAACATACCCTTCTTCACAGTACAGACAAATATGTATTTTTTTCTCAGCACCAATATGGATATACATACATGATTACTTACCAACTGTCTGAAAAGATGACTGCGGTTTTCTAGGTTCTCTGAAATTACGATCAATGAAATAATTTTTATTTCTTTCATCAAATTCAAATATACAGGTGTAGTATTATTGCTTTAAATAAATCTATGAACATCAACAGGACAAGTCAATGCTTTAAAATGAAATTTTATAACATAATCTAAAACAAGAGGTCCACGGGCCTTAACGGTGATCTGACTACAAAAACGTTCAACAGGGAGAAGGGTTATTTTTTCTACTTCTAATGAAATCTTTCTAAGAAAACTGTTTTCCAATTATAAGCTCAATGGCATCATTGGAACTGGAGAAGTTGAAAATATGTTTTTCAAAATGGCAGGCATTGCTGCTATCTTGGATTTCAGACGAACCCTTAAGGTTAGTTGTCTTATAAAAAGCTAGTTACACTAGGACTCCATTCAACTCAACATACAAAGCGTTTCTGATTAACCATATATAACATCATAGAGATAATGCACACCATCCAGTGGGTGATAATTTACTTACCGTACATCCCAAAGATGTGTGAAGGTATCAACAGAACAGGAAGCTATTACATTCACATCAAACGGGGACCAGTCAATGTCACTGAAAACCAGAACAAATACAAATATATCAGTAATTTATTGAGACTATAAGAATCAATCACAACAGTCTGCGGAGTGGTAGTTACTAGGATTTATTATACCGTCTACCGGTTTCGCCCTCCCGGGCTTCTTCAGGACAACAACATGAATTTTTATCCCCCTAAGGTACATAAAATGCGGCTCCCTCAAAATTATAAATAGTACATGTGCTATTGTGACGTAACAATTCAAAGTTCGTTCACTATAGCATATGATGTTAACTCTATGTAACAAAAATATAGGAACGCGTTTGTTGGTTTATTGTATAGTTTACTTCCCAGGCGCCCATCTGGTAGCCTGTAGATTGTGGTATCCAAGAAGTTTACCTCCGTGTCACTGACCTCAAAAGTAAAGTAATTTATTGAGATATTTGCATATTTAATACACTGTTTAGGGTGGTTCTATTTTTTATTATTTTTAAGGATGGAATCAAACTGCAGAAGGAGTGATGTATTGAATATAGAACTGATAAATAAGTAATCATTGATAAGTAATTTCTCCTTAAAATTCATCCCTTTTAAGAAGTTTTATTTCTTTTACAATAATTATGAAACAAGATTTCAGATAATATAAATCCCTGTTGCTGGCCCGGATGTAAGTACGTGTGGGGTGTTAATGTGGAAGGATACCGGGATACCCAAGGAAAACCCATGTGGTCAGACAGGTGACCCAATACCTTTTCATGTCCATCTAAAAAAATCAAATCCCTAGGTGAAAGGAGAGTGTGTTACCACTGTGCATTCTGACCATCCAAATACATCCTTTTAAGTACACAAGTTTTGGCAGAATCACAAAAATTTGAGTCATCGAAATAATGTCTTTTACAGTACCTGGAACTTCTAAAAACATTTAAAATTGAACTAAAAATCACTGATTTTTTTATATTTCATTATTCAAACCTGTTAATGGCAATAAAAACCTTTTACAATGTAAGCCATTTACTGTATCTCATATATTACTGTCCTGACCATGGATTGATACTTAATCTAATAAAAAGTCCTGGATTTACATTATAATTATCCTTCGAGTCTGGTCATGAAGTGATACTTACACTTACCTGACTGTGCTGGAATGACCCTCAATGTTACCAAACATTCCTTGTAGTGGATGGACTGTGAAACTTACCTGACAGTTCTGGAGTGACCCTCAATGTTACCAAACATTCCTTGTTGTGTAGTGACTATGAATCTTACCTGACAGTCCTGGAGTGACCCTCAATGTTACCAAACATTCCTTGTAGTGGATGGACTGTGAAACTTACCTGACTGTCCTGGAGTGACCCTCAATGTTACCAAACATTCCTTGTAGTGGATGGACTGTGAAACTTACCTGACAGTTCTGGAGTGACCCTCAATGTTACCAAACATTCCTTGTTGTGTAGTGACTATGAATCTTACCTGACAGTCCTGGAGTGACCCGCAATGTTACCAAACATTCCTTGTTGTATAGTGACTATGAATCCTACCTGACTGTCCTGGAGTGACCCTCCATGTTACCAAACATTCCTTGTTGTGTAGTGACTATGAATCTTACCTGACAGTCCTGGTGTGACCCTCAATGTTACCAAACATTCCTTGTAGTGGATGGACTGTGAATTTTACCTGACAGTCCTGGAGTGACCCTAAATGTTACCAAACATTCCTGGTAGTGGATGGACTGTGAATCTTACCTGACAGTCCTGGAGTGACCCTCAATGTTACCAAACATTCCTTGTAGTGGATGGACTGTGAATCTTACCTGACAGTCCTGGAGTGACCCTCAATGTTACCAAACATTCCTTGTTGTGTATAGTGACTATGAATCCTACCTGACTGTCCTTGAGTGACCCTCAATGTTACCTGACAGTCCTGGAGTGACCCTAAATGTTACCAAACATTCCTGGTAGTGGATGGACTGTGAATCTTACCTGACAGTCCTGGAGTGACCCTCAATGTTACCAAACATTCCTTGTTGTGTATAGTGACTATGAATCCTACCTGACTGTCCTGGAGTGACCCTTCATCATACACTGGTTTGTACAGACACCATCCTTCCAAGCAAACAGGTCTAGTCGCTCATGGCACTATAACATATACAAACAGAACTGTGCTATCACAAGCAAGCTGTAAATAAAGGTATATCTGACTACAACATCACTCAATGGAAATACATTTAACAAATAATGGGCATCTGTAGTACCAATAAAATTGAAACCATCATGTTTGTGGCTGGGGTTGTGAACCTTCTGCTGACAGGTACAACACTGAGATTGTGAATCTTCCACTTACAGTTGTGATAGCTGACAGTGTGAATCTTCCACTCAAAGTTGTGACAGCTGAGAGTGTGAATCTTCCACTTAAAGTTGTGACAGCTGAGAGTGTGAATCTTCCACTTAAAGCTGTGATAGCTGACAGTGTGAATCTTCCACTTAAAGCTGTGATAGCTGACAGTGTGAATCTTCCACTTAAAGCTGTGATAGCTGACAGTGTGAATCTTTTATTTGTAACAGTGACACTGGTTTTGGCATGTGAGCATGTGTGAGGTGTATAGTTCCTTCACAGCTGTGACACAATGTTTTGGGCATATAAGAGGAAAGTGTTTCACTTACAGCTATAACAGGGTTGTGAGCATAGGAGGGGAAAGTGTTTGACTTACAACTGTAACAGAGCTGTAACAAAATTGCGGATGTGTGAGGGTGGAGGTTTCACTTACAGCTGTTACAAAGTTGTGGGCATGTGAGGGTGGAGGTTTCACTTACAGCTGTAACAAAGTTGTGGGCATGTGAGGGATGAGGATTCCACTGGACACAATTTATATCCCATTTCTCCCACTTGCTCTGTCGTGGATGCCTGGCCAGTGGTTCACTTCCACTTAAAGCTGTGATACAAAAGTGTGCCTTTCCACTTACAGTTGTGATAACAGTGTGAAAAAATCTTTAACAAAATTAATATGTGATAGCTGACAGTGTGATTTTTTTTTAAAGCTGTGCAATACAAAAATCAATTTATTCTTCTAAAACTACTATCACTTATCATTGTCATTGACAGGAGGCATTTCAAAGGTGGAAAAACAGTGAGGGGGACTGGTTTTGGCAGTTGTGACACATGTGTGAGAGTGTAAATATTGACTTTGAATCACAGCTGTGACACAATGTTTTATAAAATATACAAAATTGCTTCAAACTGTCTGTATCAATTGCCTTGTATGCATGAGGATATGATACAATAAATCAAATTCAATATCAAATATATGATACATTTATCAAATTCAATATCAAATATATGATACATTTATCAAATTCAATATCAAATATATGATACATTTATCAAATTCAAATATATGTACATTTATCAAATTCAGTATCAAATATATGATACATTTATTAAATTCAATATCAAATATATGATACATTTATCAATTCTCTATATGATACATTTATCAAATGGTTCAAATATATGCATTCCTCAAATTCAACAAATATATGGCCTTTATCAAATTCAATATCAAATATATGATACATTTATCAATATCAAATATATGATACATTTATCAATATCAAATATATGATACATTTATCAAATTCAATATCAAATATATGATACATTTATCAAATTCAATATCAAATATATGATACATTTATCAAATTCAATATCAATATAGTTTTATACTGTACCTATGTGATTAAAACTGATTCTACACTGGTCCAATCAATTTGTACCATTCATTGATAAGTCAGTATACCATTTACATAGAAGATCAGCAACAAACCTTTCCTTTTTGGCCTCTATTTATATATATTCTGCCACAAATCAGTTCATTTATGAATACTTACCCAGCTATCACTGTCAATTTTCCTAAACAGTCGACAGCCATAGACTTTGCCTGAAATACAAAATTAGAACTTTAACCCTATGACAAGATACTGATTTAAGATTCAAATGAAACTGTTTAACATACGGAATTTGTTATTTGATTGTATTAAGCTTATCACACGTAATTGTATAAATAATCAGCACCAATCTGGCAATAACAGATATACATTAAATGCCAAATAATGAATTAAACTGCATTATTCAGCCATTTCATCTTCCTAGCCTACTATGACTTGTCAGCAATCACAGGCCTAAGTATAGAGACCCAGAAGGCAAGTGCAGAACCATCACTACAATAACTTTCACTTTCTGCATCCCTGGACATGTCATTGAAGGGACAGGCGAAATAAACTGATTGGTTTCAGAAGAAAAAAATAGACCAATCACAGGCTTATACGTTCTTTTTGAAGATTACAAAGGAGCAACACCCAACGTCTAAGCAATTACAACAATGCGACCACGGATTGTTTAGATGTACATCAAAAGATTAAGCTATTCTTTTCGTCCTGTCCAAAAGTTGGAACCTTCAAATTTTCCATGACATGTTTCTGAGGTGTAGAGAGCACAAGCGATTGTAATCCCTGGAGTATCAAAGATGGTTACGAACATCAAAATCAGCCTAAATAGATATCAAAATATTTCAGGATGTCCAATTAGTCAACATATACATTTCCAGTATTAAGTCATTTTGAAATAACGTGTTTTAAATGTGTTGATATTTAAAGTTTGTACAAAAGACACACAAGTGAATAGCACCTTTTCCTACTTTACAGTGAGATACAATAGAACTAAACAGTGAATTAAACATCTACCAACTATATGACAAAATATAGCCCAATGTATTCCAACATTACACGACATTTTTTAAAAATTTGTTCCAAGTTATTGAATTAACATCACGACAGGACATAGGACATTGCCTCTTAATGTCAATGCACTCACTGAAAATAAATCCCCCCTCCACCCCCTGTAACTCTGTTTGTAACTGCACATGTTAGCATGAACCTATTTATATGAATACAGATATTTAGTCTGTGGTATTAGATGATAAACACTTCTCCTCTAGTCACATGAATTTAGTCTTGCAAGATTAGTTATTTCTTCTTGCAAATGCGAAAAGGCTTTCATCTTACAAAAGGACATCTGATTTTGGAAAAGGAAAAAGTCTACAGAAGTGTGTTATTATGTCAGGTTTATGTTTGTATCAATGTGTCGTAACATTTGGGAGATGAATATCTTGTTAAATAACATGACTGAGGACTTGCTCTTATCTCTATTAAAACATGGGTAGGTACATTGTTAAAGCATGGATGATGATATTTGTACTGAACTTTGAAACATGTCTTAAATATCAGTTTAAAAATACCAGACTTTCCATTCTGTTTTTGCATGTGTCATGGATAGAAAAGTAACAATTTGTTTGCAATTACACATTGAATGCTGACTGAGGAGTCGGCCCTTTTTTCCCTCACTTTTTGAAGGGCAGTAGTTCTGATGTTCATTGACTCCAGTTCAGATCAATGTTAATAAAAAGATATAGTGCCAGAATTAAATGCAGTTGATAACAAAAGTGTTCAAATGATCACTACACAGGAAAACAATGGGTAAAGTAAAAGCACTGAACAATCTAAACACGTCAGGGTAAAACAGTTACCATCAAGGTTTATCACATTTTCAGAAAACACCAAATTTGATATATTACATCAAAATACATCATGACAAGATGTAGATGTCACTTCTTTTCCGAATTGAAAATTCAGCTACTAAATGTATATGTTTTGACAGGATGAAGTTACAATGCTAGGCCGTGGGATGTGATCACAGGAGTTTGTTTCTATTGATCAATGAAAGACAACGCAAAGTTCAGCACAAAACAGATCATAACAGACATGAACTCCTGTACTGATAAAATGTCAATAAACAGATGAAGGCCGCTGATTTTGTTTTGTTTAAAATGGTAAAGCATTTTGACATAGGGATGGGAGGAGATTAATAATATCGGAGAGAGGTTTTTATTTCACTCTGTACTTCTAGTACTTGTAGATTTACCTGCAGATCGCCATAATCTGCAACAATTTGCTCTGAACTCCACATTGTTGCCATTCTCCATCTTCTTTTTTCCTAACTGAGTCGGTCAGACGCTTCGAAAACTAAGCGTTTTGAACACTCAGATCACCGGGGAATGAAAAGGTTCGAAGTACCTGTAGCCGTAACCAATTAAAGAGATGGTTGAGGGGAGATGGCAAAACCTTATATCGGTCTGAAAGCAAGAAATTACAAAAGGAGCGCATAGTGGTAATTACTGTCTCTGTCACTTCACTGACATGCGGAGCATGCATCTTTGGCTCAGTTGGTAGAGCCGACTGGATACCACACCAGAGAGCAGGGTTCGATTCATGGTCGGGGCACTCGACAGGAATGTGTATTTTTCCTGTTCTTTCATACATATATCGAATAGATTTAGGCATTGCCTACATAAAATGGACGCAAGTTAAGCACAATTGTATATATGTATATATATATATATATATATATTTACTGTATACACTATTTTGAACCGTTGTAAATGAAATGCTTGGAAAGATATTTTAATTTGACGTTCAAAATATCATTTTATCAAGGGATCAAAATGTCTCATTACGTGTTTCGATAAAAGTTCCAGCGACCGACTTTTCAAGCATTTTGATGGGTTTTTTTTTTTACTACATGTACATTCAATTTCCACACACGATGCCAAACAATAATAAGTGCTCGTCACAATGTATATTCGTCCAAAACACAAGGGGTTAACACAGGAATATAATGGAAGGCTTTCCCAGGACAATACCCTAAGTTAATAGGACTAATGGTGGCGACCAATATCCCCATACTATTTATCATTTATTCATCTGAATAGATATTGACGTTTGTAAGTACGCTGCAATTTTAGATATAGCTTCAAGGACAAGTTTTATCCGATATACATTGTAGTGTATATACTTATGACAGGAGCGGGAAAATGCGCAGACCTTCCGAACTCTAGATTTATTTATTTTAGCGGGTTTTACGTCCAATATTACTAACTTTCGGTCTTTCGGCGGACGATGAGCTCTAGACAGATGCTCTACCTATTACGCTTACTTGTCGCCGACGGTTGACCCCATCCAGTTCCGCTACACTCTTCCCTCCTTATTTTTAGTCTTCGCCCCGAAGACATCGCATCTAACAACCCAGGTTCGGGTATCCCATTGTTAAGCATTCACGTACTGTTTGAAACAAGGTTTGGCCACGACACCAAATGTAACAGAAGCGGGAAAATGCGCGGCCAGCCCGGGGTTCGAACATTGGACCTTTCCGAAATCTAGACGGATGCTCTACCTACCGAGCTAACTGGTCGCCGACGATCAACCCTGTCCAGTTTCACTACATACTACTAAATCTGGAGGTGCTATTCGTGTGTTTGTGATTTTACATACCCTTTATGATAAAACTGCATCTAAGAACCTACCATTTAAACTTACAAATGTATATATCCACTGTTATATAAACCGTTGATGTTGACGCCGCGGTTAGAGCTTATTCTCACGGAAAAGGTCACAAGTCAATTGATGAACTGACCTCGGTATCAACTCGCGTTATAGCCTACAAATCGAGCCGAAATGACTTGACATTCCATAAAAAGTGCTTTCAGTGTTGTTTGATAAACATTTGGATTATGCGGGTTCAAATTCGTTGAAGTTCACATGCACCTCTCCACAGGCTTACGAACATGAAAATTCATTCGACACCGTTTTACAAATCTCGTGCAAAATGCAGACATGTAAGAACCTACGTGTATTAGTGTACAGCAAGCATTTCCACAAAACACTGCTCTTATCGTTGTGTTAGTGACATTTTGTATATAGCACGATAGATAGAATGGTATGTATAATGCTCGCTCAACGTGAAATTCGAAAGAGTAACACCTCGCTATCATAAGATGAAAATTTACACGAATCAAAAGGTTGAGATTTAAATAAAATATCACAAACACCGTGTAAATTAGACGTTTACAAATCAAAATGTCGATTTTTGATATCACCAGACAGGTGGTGTTCAACAGAATTTAGTCTCACATTTCCTTGTTTATCCCCAAAACACTTTTCTATCACATCACGGAACAAAGGAAACCTTTTCTTATTGTAATTATCACACACCGATATAGGAGCGTGCCTGGCAGAAACAGAAATATTTTTCTGATCGCGAAACCCTGATTTAGGAGAGAGCAGTTTTTTTTGTGATTTATAGAGGTATTACCCAATTGTAATCGAGAATTCGGATCTACCTTCATAACATTGACACTAAAAGGTACAAATTATCTATATCAATTCTATTATATCTATAACTCGGGTATATATATATATATTTGTTACTTAAACGTAACACTATGTCACTGTTAATCCCTAGAAAATATTCAAATATTTTGTTACATGAACAGTGAACGGCTACTTTGCTGTAGTGCTTAATTCATTGTATTTTGCAGGCTGACGGATGGAACAATGCTATTTTGCTCATACTCGAGAAGCGGTGTGATTTATATCTATTTGACGTACAATGGCACGTATAGAGACGGTTTGGGCGTGCTGACTGGATGTCGAAGTTGGACGAGAAAATGAAAAATGGTCTCAACTTAGTATTTACTGTACAAAACATTAGACAATAGTCATTAATGTTTTGTCTTGAGCTGAAAACACTGACACAGAAAATTGCAGTTGGGTCACTCATTTAATTTATCTATATCATAAGTTCGCTATTGTTATGCATTCATATTCGATTTGAATGACCACTTATGACTTCAAACTTTCGTTTTTGTGATACATTATGTATTTTTGTTTATACAATTTGGCTTCCATTTAGGCAGTTCTGTTGGATATGCCTCACCTCCTGTTCCCGTTCAGGCCAGTTTTGTTTTAAAGCACTGACACCATCCTCCTGTAAACTAGGTCATTTTTGCTCTTTGATACGTATCTTTCTTTAGAAGTGCCTTGTTAAAGTTCTTGTTTATAATGTCTTGTGTGATGTGCCAATCTTTTATTCTTTCTGAATTTCTGTTTTTACTTCTCATCTCCGTACTACTTACAATATCATTTTGGTCACACATATTACTGCTGTCCTGTTATTCTCTGTTTTTGTATTTTCCTTACGTAAGTTTTTCGCAATGATGATTCGCATGGGCTTCTCGTGTTTGTTTATATGTAAGCGATATTACCTGTATAACATAAACTAATACCGGGGTAATTTTATTATAGCCCACTGTTCAGTGTTGTACTTCCAGCGAAGTAGAGTTTTTCCATCATTTACTCTTGATAATATCAATAGATAATGCTCAAAACATAAAGACTTGTTGATTAATGTTTATATTCCATATATGTACTTTCATGTTTAGGGTTTTATTTGTTAAGCTCCCCTGATATAACCAGAAAGTAATGCTGGGTTTATCGTTATTGTTTTGCTTAAATTTGTTTATTTGTTTGTTCGTTTTGTTTTTGTTTTTGTTTTTGTTTTTTTTTTGTTTATTTGTTTTTTATTGGGAGTTGGGGGTTGGGGTGGGGTTTGTTTGCTGTTTGGTTTGGTTTGGTTTGGTTTTCTTTCTCTAGTTTGTTTTTTTATATTTTTTATATCTATTTTCGGGAGGGGGTGGCAATTTTATGAATATATATAGTTAATAACTTTCCGGTAAAACTTCAAACTTTATCGTAACGATTTGGAAGCATTTTCTGTCTAGGTCTTTTTTATGTGTTTTTTTTTCAATGATGTTAATTAGAATACATGAACATAACTCAAGAAAAATCCTTCCGTTGATACAGTCACTGTACAAATGTTAGAAAACTAAATTTGATTACATTAGAAAATGAGTGTAATACTCAACCTTAAGGGTACGTTATGAATTACCTTTCCTTACATACATAATGTTTAAAAGGTGTAATATAGAGGCACAGTTCAGAATATACATATATATACTTGACTCTCTTTAAGAAATTATCAGATGAATGAACATCACAAATTTTATTGAACTGAGAGTCAAGTGCACCGCCCCATCTATATTTAGACAGTTAGGCACTTAACATCACTGATGAGTCCTAGAATAATGCAGTTTCATTTATTTTTCAATTCTGATGCATCCAGTTCTAAATTTGTATTGAAAGGACTGTTTACTAGTGTGTGTTTAGTACATTCTAAGGTTTCTGGTAGTGGTATGTTCCAGGCACGGTCTGAGGCTGTTTACTTCTTAGGACAATGGCATCAATATTTGAGTAAGTATTCTTCATGATTCATAAGTTACAGTTACATGCTACAACACATTGTTATCATTAAGGATTTTAAAAACTATTATGACGAAGCGTTATGGTAAATATTAGGATAACACATTCTGATATATACAGCTGTACATGTATCAAGGATGAATTATATTAATTATCATCACCATATGGCCGAGCTCCTGTCGACGTCTTCATGCCAGGCATGTTGAACAGTATTCATGACCACAGTCCGAAGGGTTCTGACTATCTAATGCAATTTTATTTTGTCTCGGTCGCGGCCGAGTCAGAATTCCTATTAGCGATCCCTGTAATGGTCGGCATTCAGACAATGTTTTATATAGCTTAAAGCATCGCGTCGTTTGTAAGTCTGAAATAGTACATTGATAGAAGGATAATTCATTGTCCTACTAACTTGCACACGTGTTAAACAATTATATGTTATAAACCAAGTATTTCTTTTCATTTTTCACAACAACTTTACTTTCCAGCATATTTACCATGGCTGCCACTATGTAGAATCTCTGTAGACTTGTGCTAATAATTTGCCGTTGCCATCAATCTCGCGAGAGTTTACTTTTGGTTGGTATACCGACACAACTCTAGAGAGAGTCTGCTCAATATTTGAAGCTGCTTAAATCTGTATAATTCTACAGTCCATGATATCTGGTGATCCATAAATCTGTATAGTTCTGTAGTCCATGATATCTGGTGACACATAAATCTGTATAGTTCTCTAGTCCATGACATCTGATGATCCATAAATCTGTATAGTTCTGTAGTCAATGATATCTGGTGACACATATATCTGTATAGTTCTCTAGTCCATGATATCTGGTGATCCATAAATCTGTATAGTTCTGTAGTCAATGATATCTGGTGACACATGAATGTGTATAATTCTGTAGTCCATGATATCTGGTGACACATAAATCTGTATACTTCTGTTATCCATGATATCTGGTGACACATGGATCTGTATAATTCTGTTATCCATGATATATGGTGACACATGGATCTGTATTCTTCTGTAGTCAATGATATCTGGTGACACATAAATCTGTATAGTTCTACAGTCCATGATATCTGGTGACCCATACATCTGTATAATTCTGTAGTCCATGATATCTGGTGACACATAAATCTGTATAGTTCTACAGTCCATGATGTCTGGTGACCCATACATCTGTATACTTCTGTAGTCAATGATATCTGGTGACACATGAATGTGTATAATTCTGTAGTCCATGATATCTGGTGACACATAAATCTGTATACTTCTGTTATCCATGATATCTGGTGACACATGGATCTGTATAATTCTGTTATCCATGATATATGGTGACACATGGATCTGTATTCTTCTGTAGTCAATGATATCTGGTGACACATAAATCTGTATAGTTCTGTAGTCAATGATATCTGGTGATCCATACATCTGTATAATTCTGTAGTCCATGATATCTGGTGACACATAAATCTGTATAGTTCTACAGTCCATGATATCTGGTGACCCATACATCTGTATACTTCTGTAGTCAATGATATCTGGTGACACATAAATCTGTATACTTCTACAGTCCATGATATCTGGTGACCCATACATCTGTATAATTCTGTAGTCAATGATATCTGGTGACACATAAATCTGTATAGTTCTACAGTCCATGATATCTGGTGATCCATAAATCTGTATAATTCTGTAGTCCATGATATCTGGTGACACATACATCTGTATACTTCTGTAGTCAATGATATCTGATGACGCATAAATCTGTATAATTCTACAGTCCATGATATCTGGTGATCCATAAATCTGTATAGTTCTACAGTCCATGATATCTGGTGACACATAGATCTGTATAATTCTACAGTCTATGATATCTGGTGATCCATACATCTGTATAGTTCTACAGTCCATGATATCTGGTGACCCATACATCTGTATACTTCTGTAGTCAATGATATCTGGTGACCCATACATCTGTATACTTCTGTAGTCAATGATATCTGGTGACCCATACATCTGTATATTTCTGTAGTCCATGATATCTGGTGACCCATACATCTGTATACTTCTGTAGTCCATGATATCTGGTGACCCATACATCTGTATACTTCTGTAGTCCATGATATCTGGTGACACATAAATCTGTATAGTTCTACAGTCCATGATATCTGGTGACCCATACATCTGTATACTTCTGTAGTCCATGATATCTGGTGACCCATACATCTGTATAATTCTGTAGTCCATGATATCTGGTGACCCATACATCTGTATACTTCTGTAGTCCATGATATCTGGTGACCCATACATCTGTATAATTCTGTAGTCCATGATATCTGGTGACCCATACATCTGTATAATTCTGTAGTCCATGATATCTGGTGACACATACATCTGTATACTTCTGTAGTCCATGATATCTGGTGACCCATACATCTGTATAATTCTGTAGTCCATGATATCTGGTGACACATAAATCTGTATAATTCTGTTGTCCATGATATCTGGTGACCCATACACCTGTATACTTCTGTAGTCCATGATATCTGGTGACCCATACATCTGTATACTTCTGTAGTCCATGATATCTGGTGACCCATACATCTGTATACTTCTGTAGTCAATGATATCTGGTGACCCATACATCTGTATACTTCTGTAGTCCATGATATCTGGTGACCCATACATCTGTATACTTCTGTAGTCCATGATATCTGGTGACCCATACATCTGTATACTTCTGTAGTCCATGATATCTGGTGACCCATGAATCAGTATAATTGTGCAATTCATAATATGTGTTGCCAATTTTTGTACAGTTCCTTGGTAAGCAATTTCGGATAAAATTGATTGTGTCTAGTTCAGTAAAAACAATGGCATACTGTTCTGTAATCCATTTACAGTTTTGTAGTTCACATGTTCAGACATCACTGTTTTCAATGTATAATTAGTTCTCCTTGTCCAAGACGAATGTAGACGCGCTCTGTATATATGTGGTAAGGAAATGTTTCAGAAAAGGGACGGCCAGTGTTTAAACTGTAAACTGGTGTACACTGATTTGAGTGTTAGTACTTCAACTGTCGTTAATGAATATTCATGATACACGATATAAAATTAATCCAAACTTGATTTTGTTGTTGTAAAATGAGACTTGTGTTAATTGAGGTAATATTAAATGAAAATTGAAATAATCTAAGTTAATTTTGACGAGATTTCAGGTACAATTGAAGAAGACAGGTGAAATCGAACGTTATTACATGACTTGCTCGTCTTTCAAAATTAAAACCATAAGAGGCTCACCTTTCTGATAGTATGATTGAATGAGATTTAGATGTATTTGGTTCAAAATTGAATGGAACTCGTTTATATTTGGTTGAAACTGAAGGAGACTTGCTGGTCTTTCAAAGGTAAAATTGAAATATTAACTTCTCTGAAGGTATAATTCAACATTTTTTGTTTATTTGGTTTGAGAGTCGTTTTTTCTTAGGTTATATTTTGTAAAAAAAAACCTGTATTGATATGAAATCAGTCTTCGTGAGGGACTTTTACTGCGATAAATGGTTACATAGGGTAAATCAGAAAAATTTTCTTTTCTTGATTGTTACGACTTTTCAGTAATACACAGAGTATAAATGTTGTTTTTCAATAAAGGAACCATGAAATGTCTCTATCGTGTAAAAGAATGCTAAAATGAAACAAACGACAAGACATTTTTATGATAAAATGCTAGGTTTTATTTCAAGTTAATTTAAGATAGGGACAATGACACAAACAAGTTTTTTGTTCATTTTTGCAATTCGTCTACAACTTATGAAGAGATCGGCGATACAGTTTTGCATTGTGATGATTGATAATAATAGTACACATTGTCGGAGAAATACGTACCATTGAATCAGACTGACTTTCAAATGACTATGTTAAAACGAGGTTGTGTACGTCACTTCCTGTGTGTGTGGGTGACTAAAGATAGACTGACTGACGATTAGTGGATTGATACGGGATGTTATTGAACAGTAAGTGGAGCTGTTGCTGATTGGAGGGTTTGGATTTGCTGTTGTGAATCGCAGGTAAAAATCGGATGACACCATATACTACTGATCATCTTGAGAACACTAGTAAAGGGGACTAAAGCGTTGATGGATGGTTATACAACAGTAATCAGACGTAAAGGTTATCAGATTCGGCAAACTTTCTACCATCACACAACATAATGACAAACCAAGAGGTCAAAGTTCAAACAAGTACGTGTTTTTGAAACAAGATAATGACGTTTTGACGGTAGAGACTACTAGTGACACACTTCTGATTTTAATGTGTGCCCATACAAAAACTACTATCATGAGAACTGACTTCAGAATCAATAGGCTTTTTGCACTGTTCAGCGAAACGACAACACCATCTCGTCTAGTCCTAGTGATGTAGACAGAATTTGGTGTCAGACAAAAGTAATTGTCAGGGAATGCCCTGAATTAATTCCTCAAAGAGATATTATGAGGGGACCGACTTTTGAATTTAGATTTTGTATAAGAAGTAAGTGGTTTTACTAGTTATTTCTTGGTAATTAAAACCACTGTCTCACATAATGATGTTCATTTGTCGCAATTAATTCGAAGGGAAACTAATACATTTTCCACATATGTGGTAGTTTTATTTGTAGGATTTCTAGCAAGATACGACTATTCAGCATAACAAATTTAATATAAACATTGTATTAGCATAATCACAAACTAGCGACTGAAATTGTAGTCTGTTAAGACACCAACGCTTGGGTGATCGCCATTCCACCAAACAAATCACTATTGTTATAGAAACAGTATACATAGATATATTTATATATATATATATATATATTCAATTGGTGAGAAAAGAAAAACAGTTTGTCATGATAATCACATTTGACCTTTGACCTTTTAGTAAAATCAACAACCGTAGCCAACACATACTCAAGCAAAACAATATTTACGCAGATACCAAATATTCATTTAGAAATTAAATCCAAATTCTTAAGATGATACTCATTATCTACTCGAATCTTATATGTCACGTAAGGGGAGGATATTCACATTAAGTCTGGTTCGAAATTCAACAGATTCAATCAAGACTTCAATCACATAATTACATAGGTGTATTTGTTCTAATTAAAAAGAATCCTTGGCAAATCAGGATACCTTACATTGAAGTTTAATCGTGATAAGAAGCCATTGAATCTACGTATTATTTGTTATTTTACAAATAAATGGAAGGTTATATAACTTAAAGTTGTGCGCTGGAGACTACAAATGAACGAATAATTTCCTTAAAGGAGAAAAAATGTCTGTTAGATAACAGAAACGGTGAAAACATACAAGTTATTTGTTTTAGTCTGACGTGTGTCGACAAAGTTCCTCAGGAGAAGCCACAGTGAGGAGGTTCAATTATCACAAGGTACTTACATTCTGTGAATACAACGCAAAACTCGAGCAAATAATGTATTAGTATACTCAATGTTAATATGTAGATACACAACTGTCGACATCTAAATGAAAATGAAGAATAGGGACTGTTTTGCGGATAAATTAATAATTATCATATTATGAATCTAATCCATGGGATGCTGAATAAATTAATTCAAAAGCTCTATTGTGATGATTTTGCGGTCTCCCATGAGGCTAAACAGAAGTTGACTATCGCTACGTCGACGTCAGATAGACATGGAACACGTAGAAAGATATTTTGCAGGTTTTTTGTTGGTTAAACTTTTTTTTATTAATTCAGAGAAAGCAGAAGAAAGTGAATTATGATATAAAGAGATATGATGTAATATATTTTAACAATCATTCGATCTGGTCTATAATGAATAACAAACACAGGAAAGAAAAATAAACTAGGTATTCCACACACATTTAATAAATCCTATCGATCGCAACAGAGGAAAGGCACACGCGCTCGTCCTCCTGTCCTGATTTGACCCACCTTTCATAACACATCGACTAGAATCACAATACAATCAGATATTGCACTCGACAGTTCTATAATATACCAATAATAAATAAATAAGCCGACCGACTAACCGGTCGACGCATGCGTGATGACCGACTAACCGGCACACGCGTGCGTGATGACCGACCAATCGCTCGACGCATGCGTGATGACAATAAACTCGACAGAAGAGACTGGCAGTTGGCGTGCATGATATTACGTACACCAAGATATATATATAGTATAATACAGCATTTGAGCGTTTATGTCATACTAACATAAAACGGCTTACGGTGCCAGCGTCTTAATCAACATACATCAGCAACACTCGGTATACACTATAGTAACATGTACAGATTTAAATATTTGGTCCCCGCCCCTCCCTAGCTTCAAATCTCCGAGCATTGTCTGCCCTGTGATTTTATATCTAACACAGAATCGATCTTGTCAACTGGTCTCAATCTCATAAAAACACAGAACGTCTGAGATGACAAGCCATACATTTTTTCTTTGATGGTACTTTTTTTGACTGGCTGAGCATTGTATGGTCGATGTACCTAGAGGCGTTGTGCGTCCTTACTCCAGAGACTCCATTGTTGACACCCATAACTTGGGTCCTTCCTTTACTACCAAAGCTTTGTTCACAAAAAGTAAAATGAAGATAAATTGCACCTGTCCGTGATTTCACTCATTCTGTGTGAAATCGACGGAATTCCACGGTTCTTACGGAAGTGAATTACTCCTTAAGTCAAAGACTTCTATTAAAAATCACTTCTAAAAATATACAAATCCGAGCACTTTATGCACTCCCAACTGTTACCTGACTGAGAATGCCGGCATTCTCAATATCATAACGATTACTATTCACTTCACTTGTCATATTCATTTGCTAGGTTGATGTTTCAGTTGCAAAAACACAAAATTAAAAAAAATCTCTGGCGCTTCTCAATTAAGTCTCTATGCGCATGACAGCTGGACTACTTAGATCTCATTAATTAGCATATTAAACACAGATGTAAAAATATGTTAATAACACGGTAGTCATGGAAACGGTAATGGCGGTAGACCTGTCAATTAATCATGGTCAAAAACATGCTTTATTTTCGGATAAGCTGATCTGCAAACTCTCATTAAAGAGGAGGTAACTCTCAACTTACTCTTGTCATGGAAAGGAAAACAGGACTGGCTATACACGTCTACCACTACAATTACAGGAGACATCAAGTTATAAAATGTATCTACCGTGTCCAGGACTGTTTGCATCAAAGGAAACAAGTATATCATGGTATGCCACAGGAGTAGTGTATTTAGGAGGTAAATGTATATATAACTACCTGTGTATGTACAGGTACATCTGTTGAAGCAGAGATATGTAAATCCATAATTGTATGACATGGTGTTAGGACATGGTAGAGCCTACCCTTATACTTAGAAACCATCCCCACTTGTTATAATGTATAACATCATTCTACAAGTACCAGGGGGCTAGTTTCCCACTACTCCCGGCCCATAAAGGACGAAGCTTGGCAAGTCCTAGGAGGGCTAAACAGCCATTTTCTTTTTATAACTCTGGCAAACTGCCAAAGCATTCATGGTCCCAATATAGGGTAGTGCTCGAGCGGGCGATAACGATTCATAAAGTGGTTGTTATGAGTTACATAATACTTAATTTTGTATATATTTCCATTTATGTCAAGATTTAAAAAAAAGGATAAAACTTACAAATATCCACAAATATACACTATATTTTATCTTGCTTATAAATATGACACAAACATACACTGAACTAGAGAATGTGACTGCAAGCTACGGTACAGGCACTCAATCCATTCACTTACAGAACACATGGACAGATGTGTTCTTATACAACAAGATTTAAACATGCACTTTGATAAAAGAGAAAAACGAAGCACTTTATCCAGAGAGGTCCCCGCATTTATCATTACTGTCCCGTTATTTGTATTTTGTATTAAATATTCTAATTTTAGAATTTTCTTCGAAACGATTTCAATGTCAATATTACGAAACAATGAAGAAACATTGAGGTGCTGAAAGAATAGAATGAAATAGGTTTGTCTATAGGACCACGCATTTATAGCAAATATTCCATCACTTTCGTTTTACATATAGTTTACACAGTTACAAGTACAGTGTGCACAGCTCGAGTGGGTGATGGTTAAATAGCATGACAAACGTTAGTGTTTGTCCACATGTAAGTGAAATAGCCTTTTACAAACTAAATAATACCTTTTATTAGATACATGTATTTATCGCTTGTTCACAGGCCTACATGTTTCTCCCATCGCTATCACATAATACAGCATATATATATATCATATATATAACCATGTGACGCTGTAGAGTTGTATCAAGGCTGAAAGAAAAGAAAACCATATATATTGATCGTTACGAGAATATTAAAGTTCTCATGCAGAAGCCTACAGGAAGATGATACATCCATGTCCGGTCCTTTATGTTAATTTCTTCTTGAGTTGTCTATGTGCTATGCAGTTTATTTGGATATCGCATCGCATACGTCATTTCCGGTGTATGACGCCGTGCTATTAATCCAAGATGGCTGTGACATATTGGTATTGATTACCGATTTTTGCCTCAACGCCTGTCTATGAGGAACAACGCAGTGTTCGATCAATACTGACTTCAACAGGCTACTGAGCAGTTCAGAGAACAGATAACGACGGTAGCCTAGTAGTATGTTTCCGCCTCTCTATAGCAACGTATCACTCTGAAGCCAGAGCGAGAGAGAGGGAAAGAGGACAGTCCAATGCACATAATCTTTCACAAGAGAAATAAATCTCTCTAATATATGTCTTCCAGCTCTGATTTCACACCGTGTTTGTGTTGACAATAAATTCCTTCTTATGTCAACCATTCTGTCTCTGCAAGCAGTCAGGCATCGCCATAATTGGTATTTTGTTCATAATTTTATTTCAAATTTAAGGTCACATATTCTTACACTGCACATAAAAATCTCAACACATGCTCACGTCCGATCTGTATATAGATGATTTAGGAACAGCCCCAGTGACCTCGCCGGGTCCCAGTCTTAGGAACAGTCCCAGTGACCTCGCCGGTCCTAGTACAATCCGCATCCACGCAGGTTATTGGCTATGATTACGTCAGTGACGGCGTCAAATACAAACTGGATATTGTTGGTGTCCGTCGCGCACGTCTGGTGGCAGTAGATCTCTTTCGATGAACTCTTGTTCTTAGCCTCGAACTGAGCCTGAATGTAAGCAGCTGCCTCCTCATATGTTTGGTTTCCTGTAAACACAAAAGGTAAGCAAATGTTATTTTCGAGAACAACATTTAAGCATGAAGAACATAGGGCCATGTTAATTACTCCGACAGACTAGAAAATAAAGAATATCTTCATAATTCTCCTACAGTAAACTCTGAAGTTCATATATGTTTAATCCTTTTTTCTTTTCATTGGTTCGTTTCCATATTACAAGTGAATGAATTTTAATTGTGAAATAACAACTGTTTAAATGTAACAATGGTCAAACACATGGTTTAAATGATTTTTTCTTACATCGCGAAAAAAACAGTCACTTGGGATGTAAAATTAATACAGTCTTTACAAATATTCATGGCTGTGGGTGAAAACAAATCCACATTTGGTTTTATTATCTCAGTTTAAATCATCTCGATAGAGCTTGTTCCTCTTTATCTTAAACACAAGTTTCTGTGATTCATAACGAAAGACATGTGTTTTCTTTCAATTTTCATTTGCTATGTCGTTTGCTAATGACGGAAGTATTGTTTTGTTTGTTTTTTTAAAGAGGGTTTTTAAGCTACGTTTAAAATCACTTTTTCAAAAACGATGTTCCCAACAACAAGTGTTTTATAGGTTTTTAGGTCGAATAATACAAAACTGGGTGACGGTGGATTGGTTTATCTGCTTAGAAATGTAAAGCAAATATGTGGATGGATGATGCATTACCTGTAAAGATCAATGTTTAAGTGGAAGACATGGATTAAAATATAAGAAAAATAAAGCAGATAGGGAGAAAGATCTCAAGTGTAACAATGACTGCAGTGAGCTATTTTGGTCCTTTTAAGGTCAATTGTTAAACCACATAAATGAGAAATATGTGACAACCACCGGATAAAACAAAGAGTAATATAAACTACAATATATGGTATAGCCAAAACACCGACAGATGTTTCACTATTACCACAGGTACAATGTTATTATCACTGTCTAACGGATATTAAACCTGTCCTTTCTCTTACGCTTTACTTGTAAAATCGTGATACGATACAAAGAAATATTTCAAACTAAACATAATATCGGAGGTTTGTATGCAGAGAAGATGTCAGATTCCATTAAAAATAATATGGTATCAATTTTTTGAATGTCAAATGTTTATCAAAATAAAAATCCCATCCTATTTTTTATTTCACTTCATATGTACGATATTATCTATCTAAGATGTATGATTTTGTCTTTTTATATCATTTAACGTCCTATAAATAGCTCTGGTTATTTAAGGACATAAAATGTATGAACCTTCAACTTGGTACATACAGCACTGCTATCATGCCAAGCCATGGATGCAATGCTCTGGAGAATAAAACCTGCCAACATGTCAGTACCAACTTTCAGTGCCTATCCTATCAGTGTTAAGACATGGAAGAAATGAAAACGATCTTCTTTTCAATCAGCATTGAAGTCTAGGTAAATAGGTCAATAGTGAATAAATTTCATAATGGGTGATCTCAACGAAAACGGGACACTGATTATACACCCCACTATCGATAAAACAACAGAGTGAACATATTTGTCGATAAATATGGACTACTACGATCCATCTGTAAATCGAAAGAGTAAACAAATTTATTGCTAAATAAAGACTTTTAGAGTACTTCTAGAAAAGAAAAGGTAAACAAGTTTGTCATTAATAGAACCAACTGGGATCCTTCAGAGAGAAAACTAAAGATTAAACACAAATGACGCTGTGAGAGGATTATTTAAATCGTTCAAGAGGCAATCGATGGAAGCACTTATTTCTGACTATGAGGTATCGACACTTGCCTGTGTACTCATTGAAACAGATGGTCAGTGATGACTTCTTGATCTTCTCCTCGAAGAGATCCTTCTTGTTCAAGAACAGAATGATGGAGGTATCTGTAAACCATTTGTTGTTACAAATATTGTCGAAGAGTTTTAGACTCTCTTGCATTCGATTCTGAAATGAGACATAGGCATCATTTACAGTAGACGTAAGTTATGACAGGTCAGATAGGGGTCTGGACGTAGAGATTAACATACCAATAAAGACACGAAGGATGAAGGTAGAGATAACATACCAATAAAGACACGAAGGATGAAGGTAGAGATTAACATACCAATAAAGACACGAAGGATGAAGGTAGAGATTAACATACCAATAAAGACACGAAGAAAACAAACCAACATCTTAAAATACTAAATCACACATTACCTTTCCATGTCTCGTAATAGATAATTTTCTCAAAAATGGTGAAAATCATACAAAAAGCAGTAGGACGTTTTCCAATTAACAGTAAATTATGAAAAACGATATGCATATACAAAACTGTAGCTGGAATCTAGATTTTTAAAGAGCTACAGCCAAATGGTACCGTTTGAGAAATTTTATATTCATGGAAACTCAAAAACAATTTTTCCAATGTAACTGACGATCATACAACTTAATACGAAGAACTCATATCACTGTCACACGTTACACTTTATCTTCTCATCTGACAAATATATAATCGTTACGAGAGTGATACTATTTACGTTTGATGGACGCTTGAAAAGTGATACATCTGGTATTGTAAAATGACAATAAAATGTGACATTTCCTTTCGTAGGGTAAATAAAGAAGTACTTCCTGTTCTCTATGTTATGCAATTTGTATACTGTTTTCTATATATACATAAATGATTACGTGACCTTTTGCTACAATCGGAAATGGATCCATGTATCAATGTTTAGAGCACGTGTTGATATTTATTCCGATGAAAACCATCAAAAAGGATCGCCCACAAAACAAAAAATTTGTGTAGGGTTCCAGCATATGACTTATTGTGAGCAATTTACTTACTGTTGTTTCATCCTCGTGTAAGACCTGGTCGTACTCGCTCATAGCAACACAAAATATAATTGCTGTTACATCTTCAAAACAATGTATCCACTTCTTCCTTTCCGACCTTTGACCTCCTACATCAAATAATCTAAAAAGAAACAACGTATATGTCCCAAAATTTGTTCTTGACAGTGAGATCGCCATTGTTATCAATAAACGGGAACATCAACCCTTAAAATAAAGTTAAGATGTTAAAAAATAGTTCAGATGTAAGTAAAGAAGTTAAAATTTATTCAAGAAATTTTAATACATTTTATTTTAATCAATGTTTTATTCAATAATCCACTACCTTTATTCAATAATCTAAATACCATGTAATATTTTATTGTTAACTTTGAGATCGAAGAGCAAGGATTAAGTTTAAGTTTAGTCCTTTCCTGAAATATACATGAGACAGACGTCCCATTGAGACATAAATCAGACAAATGGTGGGTTTAGACAGAATACTTACTTGAAATTTAAATTCTTAAATGAGAAGTGTACTTCAACAATGCCAGTCGTCTTAACCCTTGTTCTTAATATATCTTGCTCTGTAGGCATATAATCTTTTGATCCTAATCGATCTAAATCATCTAAAAAGCTGTAAAAAGAGAAAATGAAGAATCAATTATTTAATTATCACAGGAGAAATTGGCCACTATTTGCACCAGACCATAATCGTAATTGAACTCAGTATAATTTATTATATGATTTTTTTTTTACATAATTAACTACTAACAATTCAGTTGTTGTTATCGGTTGCAAATGGGAATGATTGTCAAACAGAATTCTATATTTTATAGATATATAGATGATTGTCAGGTTCATTTTTCATTTCAATTCCACTTAACACATGGTTTTCACCCGTTTTCTTTTCTGTAAACTCTTTAACCATTAAACTTTCGCATTGCATACTGTTTACTGTAAACAAGCTCCTGTTTAGGTTTGTTAGAATTATTGTTTTGAACACTAGGGAATAAGATAATTGTTTTGTTTACGAATTCCTTTCCAACAACATCAAAAATCATGAGACGTCGATCATAATCAGGGCACCGGATGTCAGCGTTGCAAGACATTAACAGCTACGTTTGTTTTAAGGTTTTGATATCCAAGCCATAGTCAAAAGAGGACGGGGTATCAATCGATATAATTTGTCACCTGGGTGGATATATATTCTACCTCAAAATTAACAAGAATTGTTGGAATTTGTTGAAAGTAACTGCAAAATTATTATCTTGATGTGCTTTAGCGAGAATTTGTCATTTTCCAAACACCAGACATGTATGTAATATAAACACAAGATTCATCCCAAGGTTTTATATGGTACAGTATACAATTTAATTCCAACTTTAATACTAGTATAAACAATGAATTGATACACATTGGATTAAACTTAATTAAATGCAGATTTTAACCACAATATCGTAAAACAATTAAACTTCCGGTCTATTAAGGAACACTGTTTACTGAATACCAGTTTTAACGATAAATCAATACACATTATTAGACTAAGCATGAATAAATGCACATTTTAATGAAATTATCATAAAACATTTAAACATCCGGTCTGACGTTTTTGTTACGCAGACTGCAGACATATAATACGCAATCGTCCCACGGGTGTCAACGATCTCTCGTAAACCCATGCTATTTAGAAAACAGTTGTTATGACTTATAATTTCTCAAACCGTCGAATTCTCCTCGTTATGTACATTGACATTATCACTGACGTTTTAAACTGCATTGTCATTTAGAAGCATGCAACTTCCGTGACCTTTTCATGTAATAAATAGTTTTGACCTACAACGGGTAGCTGTATATAATGATGTTTTATGTAAAACGTTCGATCATTATCATACGTGTTAAAATCATATGTTTTTTTTCATTCCTCTCAACAAATTGATAAAATAATTTCAGAGAAATATTGAACACGTTCGGTAAAAATGTCACACATGAAGAAATCTGTAAAAGACATTCCATCTCTAACCCAATGAGAATCGTCTAGCGAATGGTCCATTTTAAGTTGTAACGTTGTAAGTCACCTGTAAGTAAATTTTCCATTCTATCTTTAAGTTTTATAACGGTTATTTGAAATTAATTTGAATTAAACAATACGTCATCATATAAATTAAAGTATCGTACTATTTCGCTGAATCGTTAAGCTGGTATTCGTTCGATCTTCCGAAGCACTCCTGAACACCAGTATCGGCCCATAACCGTTTCATAGCAGCAAGAAGTTCCTCTGAGAACGGCTCGGTGTCCTCCATTCTGGCTATCACATCCAAGACTATCTTTGCATCAGACTGAAACATATAAGTAGACAATTAACTAAACTAGGGGCTGTATTACGTTAGTAAATAATTTATAATAACCCCAATCACCTGTAAGTGGCTTGATTAGCAGGGATGGTGATTTCATCATGATTCGTATCCATGCACACTAAAGACAGGAAACATCACCCGATCATCTTAAGAGTCGTCAGGTTTTTACTGGATTCAATCATCAAAATTCTTATATAGTTAATAAAATGTTTAAATAGACGCAAAACATCATATTGTGTATAAATCTTACCATGTTTAAATAGACACAAAAAAACCACATTGTGTATAATTCTAATCAAGTTTAAGATATAGCGACAAACACACAGTGTTTTAAACTGACAAAGCAGCACCTTAAAACCTGCATCACATTTACATAATCTTTTTTAAAAAATGTTCCAAACATATAAACAGTCAGTAATTCAGTAATACAAAGCTGAATTGTCCCATGTGCATTGTAATATACACGGTGCAATATACATGTAATTCACTCTAGTAACAATACAATATAATCAAGCGTTATTACTTGTGGAGAATTTCATATGATTGTTTCAGAAACACTGGCTCCGATAGCTCAGCATTAAAAATATATCTTCTGCGCGATAGTTTTGTTAGTCTCAAGGCAATATATTGTCATTTTCTGTTATTCTGCCATCCCTCTAGTTCACCCTAAAAACACAAAATTCCTCAAGCATAGTTTAATATAGGCTTTCTTCGTCCGGAGTTCGGATTGCATGTAGGATTCTGTTGGTATGTGGGTACTTTCATTGTTGCTGTTTATTCGGCTAGAAAATATGATTTTGGAATTGTTACATTCGCAATTCAAAAAGGAAGATGTTGGATTGATTTATGTGACCTGGTAGATTGTCATGATACCGTAACAGTGACACTATCACTGATGGACACCGTCTGTGAACCTCCACCAAACCCCCACCAAACCCCACGACCAAAACAACAAATAGTTTGGTGTATTGGTGCTTTGCGTTCTATTAACAGCCTGGGTCATTTAGGTATGTGTCAGGTTTGGTTGGTGGGAGAAAGCGAGAGTTCCCGGAGAAAAACCAACGTCCTGCGACCAGTACCTGACGACTGTCCCATGTAAGCCTCGAGTTGGAGAGCTTGTGATAAAAAACCTCATCGCGGCCCATCTCAACCAAATACGGCAAACATATGTTCATATATACGTTACTCGATATCTATGGCACCTGTATATTAATTGGAATTTTTCTAGGTAGTATATTCCCACAACCTAAAACAGTCGATATCCCTTTAAAACATCAATACCTGTATAAACGCGCAATGTATACCTTTTCCACAGACAGGCTACGTGTTGGTCACTGCTATCTCATTACTTTAATGAATTATTAATGCAAATACGTCTAGCTATCGTCGATATTTTCCTCTCCAACAGCAACAGTCGTAAAATACCCGTAATACATTTATCATGTAAATTCATTTTCAAGTAGGTCTATAAAATCCAGGCCAGCGGCAAATTATGTGTACAGTAGTACAGTATTCCAATAGATTAGTTTATCATAATATAAATTATACAGTTTGAAGTACAAACCTACAGTGCTGACAAGACCATTGTGTTATTAACACGGGTGTGTTTATCTATGCAGGTCTATAAAACCTTGTTATATGTTACTGTATTCTATGTCCGTCCTAGTCTGGGTGAAACATTGGCCTGTGTTTATGCAGCTACTGTATGCAATGTTAATCGTCTACCATGTGATTTTACTCACACCCTACTCAATGTGTCAAGAGTGGGTCGCACTGTACCGCCCGTAACATCAGAAAGACGAACATACCAGGCATACGCGGGGGCTAATGTGATATTTATAGTGTAATGACTGCATAGACACAAACATAACCAAAGTCTAGGCACAGCACGTGTGTAGGACCGACCGCGCCCCCTCCTGCGTCTCGTGTCAGAATCAGAAATGCCCACTTCCACCGCATCAACAGCAGCAGTAGCAGCAACAACATTTAGTAAACCGTATTATGGGATGGAAACATGGCTTCCAGCGAGTGCATGTGGACGGGCTCTCTCGCTAGCGTTCCCTATACATAATAATTTGTTAAAGACAAGAATGTAAGCAGACTAAGAACAACACTATGAATTAAGAAGACGGAAACATCTAGGTTTACCTGTGAATGAGATTGCCTATCATTAATGAATGATTCTCTCGATGGGTTGCCATGCCAACCAGCCTGCCATCTTCCATCAATAAAGAGCCCTAACTCTGCCGGTTGAGAAATAATGGCTACCATTGATTATGGTATGGACAGGAGAGAGTGTTGGCTGGTGTGCGGCGTATGTGTACAGTCAATGTCACAGAGCCGTGCAGGGCGCGAGACGGCGAGACCGTGTCAGACCACCAATTTTGTATTCAAACAGGAAACGACGGGAATACTCATATTCCTCTGTATTCTATCAGGAAATGACAAGAATACTCATATTCCTCTGTATTCCGTCAGGAAATGACGGGAATACTCATATTCCTCTGTATTCTGTCAGGAAATGACAAGAATACTCATATTCCTCTGTATTCTATCAGGAAATGACAATACTCATATTCCTCTGTATTTCACCAGGAAATGACAAGAATACTCATATTCCTCTGTGTTCTATCAGGAAATGACAAGAATACTCATATTCCTCTGTATTTCACCAGTAAATGACAAGAATACTCATATTCCTCTCTATTCTATCAGGAAATGACAAGAATACTCATATTCCTCTGTATTCTATCAGGAAATGACAAGAATACTCATATTCCTCTGTATTCTATCAGGAAATGACAAGAATACTCATATTCCTCTGTATTCTATCAGGAAATGACAATACTCATATTCCTCTGTATTCTATCAGGAAATGACAATACTCATATTCCTCTGTATTCTATCAGGAAATGACAATACTCATATTCCTCTGTATTCTATCAGGATGCCGGGGACATTCATATTTCTAAAATTCCATTTGAAGTATTCTAGTAGAAAATTCAAGAAATGTTTAATCCTAATATATAATATGATATAATATATAAAATGATATATACATTCGAAAAATGTTATCCCGATAGTGGGATATTGCATACAAATATATTCATCTTGTATTGTTGAACATGCGTTCAAATGGAGCTCGGAGCTTTTTTTAACTCGTAAATGAAAAGCGTTTCCTCATTGTAGTGACACTGCAATAATACTATAGAAAATAAACTATTGAGAATTAACAAGAAATTAAGTAGAATTGGATTCTTGAGTAAGATTGTCCACTAAATCAAATATCAAGGAAGACTTTTTCTTTGTAAAACACCAAAATTTGAGAACAATGAAAAAACATAATTTCATAGTTTATGTTCATACAATGAAAAGAAAAAGCTAACTACAGAACGCGACAGTAAAATAATGACCATCCTGGTGTTTGACACAAATGTCTTACAGCAGAAGCGCTTACACTACCGGTGCACCTGGTCTGACTCTCCTTTAACTTTTTCAGGAGTCCTCGTGTGAATACTTCTCTTGCCCATATTTTGTCAGTTTCATAGAATTTGTGATTAAATTGTGATTCTATTATTATATTATTTATTTGTTGTTGTTGTTGTTTATACCTGTAATCCTTATTGATGTCGATTTCTATTATTTGTACACTATGAACACTGAGAATATTAAAATGAAAACATTCAAGTATGACCAACGATATGCTCAAATGCCGATGAACTGTGTTTGTCTTCACGCATTTCATTTACTGATACGGACAAGAATTTTGCAGATATTAACATAAAACTTCTTCAAAAGTACGCCCTCGATTTTTTTCTGATAATATTAAACCATATTCTATGTATCAAAGGTTGTCTAGAAATGAAACCTGTAATCTTCTAACAAAACTTAAAACCCCGTCATATTAAGAGGATCTTAAGTCAAACTGATAGCAACATCAAAGAGTATTAATATAACAGGTCCATCGAGATTGTAAAGGTGGAAATATATATCATCACCTTAAATCTACTAGCATAAATCATACAAATTTTAAATGGAGTTTCATTTATAATTTTAAAAAAGTATTCAACTACTACAACATTAAGAAAAAATATTCAAAATATGAAACAAAGAGTCCTCAACACTGGATGCTACGGTAGATAAAACTACAATTACCGTAATGTTCAGTAAAACAGCTACAGTGTAATGCGAAGTAAAATTATAGTTATCGTAAATATTCAGTAAAATAGCTTCGGTGTAATGTATAGTAAAACTACAGTTACCGTAAATATTCAGTAAAATAGCTACAGTGAAATGTAGAGTAAAACTACAGTTACCGTAAATATTCAGTAAAATAGCTTCAGTGTAATGTATAGTAAAACTACAGTTACCGTAAATATTCAGTAAAATAGCTACAATGAACTGTAGAGTAAAACTACAGTTACCGTAAATATTCAGTAAAATAGCTTCAGTGTAATGTATAGTAAAACTACAGTTACCGTAAATATTCAGTAAAATAGCTACAGTGTAATGTAGAGTAAAACTACAGTTACCGTAAATATTCAGTAAAACAGCTACAGTGTAATGTATAGTAAAACTACAGTTACCGTAAATATTCAGTAAAATAGCTACAGTGAAATGTATAGTAAAACTACAGTTACCGTAAATATTCAGTAAAACAGCTACAGTGAAATGTAGAGTAAAACTACAGTTACCGTAAATATTCAGTAAAATAGCTTCAGTGTAATGTATAGTAAAACTACAGTTACCGTAAATATTCAGTAAAATAGCTACAATGAACTGTAAAAAACTACAGTTACCGTAAATATTCAGTAAAATAGCTTCAGTGTAATGTATAGTAAAACTACAGTTACCGTAAATATTCAGTAAAATAGCTACAATGAAATGTATAGTAAAACTACAGTTACCGTAAATATTCAGTAAAATAGCTACAGTGTAATGTATAGTAAAACTACAGTTACCGTAAATATTCAGTAAAATAGCTACAGTGAAATGTATAGTAAAACTACAGTTACCGTAAATATTCAGTAAAACAGCTACAGTGTCATGTAGAGTAAAACTAAAATTACCGTAAATATTCAGTAAAACAGCTACAGACTAATGAACTATATCGGGTAGAAAACAGATCTTAGAAATAAACGGTGTTTTTGCATTGGCTAATAAAAAAATGTCAAGTTTAAAACTACAAAACAATGTAATATTGAAAGATGGTGACAATAAAAAAATATGAACATCTTCCATGTTCGGGAAAAAAAATCAACATTCTACACAAAATTTGAACAATAATAAAGATGCTGAAACATAGTGAGGATCGGAAAACAACAAAGAAAATTCAGGATCCTTATCATTATCAAATAGCGGCGATGCAATATTTATATAAATATTTTATCCATATTTGTAAACAATAAAAGTAAACAGTAAGGCAAGACCTTAAAATCAACAAGATGTTTAAGGTCCTTAAATAAATAGGTACGAATATTGTTCAGAAAAAAAATGTTGATTATGAGAGTGTAAAAAGTTGAATTCAAATAAAAAGCAGATTTGTCAATGAAGTGTGCCCGTGGCTACAGAACTAGTGAGAAAAAGATAAACTAAATGCATTCAAAGTGTTGATGAGATGTGTGGGGAAGTTACAATGATAATACTACCTTTGTCTCCTGTAGTTGGAAGGAAAACATAAAACAACATTCATAATTATACAGATCATTGGTAGACATTGCTAACAATGTATACAGATAGTCGACTTTGTAGCCGAAATACAGAGATAAATGTCTTTCTTATTTCAACTCAGCATCGCATTCATTTCAGTTTTAAACTGACCACTGCCTCATTTTCCATTTCACTCTGGTATTTTGTAACGTTGCAAAAATTGTGTGTTTTCAAAAGCCAGTCTTCCATTATTCCCAGCATAATTTGGACCATTTGGTCTAAAAGTTTACCCGAAATAAACACTTCGGATATACATCGAAAACTAAAAGATTGCTTCCAATACACTTACATGATAATTAAAGATAAAGGAATGTAAGGAGAAAAAATGAAAATTTCAGATCTTACAGAAAAAAACAGATGGTTAAAATTGGCATTAAAACCCATTTAAGCTAACTAGGCTTTGATCAACTAGCTTACACGGATCTACCAAACACCCTGTCAATGTTCATCGAATCATAGAACCTAATAAATTACGGTACATCATATGTGATGACTTTTTGTTGTATTGCCGTCAAAGATAGGGATACTGGACTGTAGGTCAATATACTATTACACATTGTCGTGGTGTAGTGATGTAGGAACACTGGACTGTAGGTCAATGTGGTTACATATTGTCGTGATGTAGTGATGTAGGCACACTGGATTGTAGGTCAGTAAGGTTACACATTGTCGTGATGTTGTGATGTAGAAACACTGGATTGTAGGTCAATATAGTATTACACACTGTCGTGGTGTTGTGATGTAGGAACACTGGATTGTAGGTCAATATAGTATTACACATTGTCGTGGTGTTGTGATGTAGGAACACTAGATTGTAGGTCAGTAAGGTTACACATTGTCGTGGTGTAGTGATGTAGGAACACTGGACTGTAGGTCAATGTGGTTACATATTGTCGTGATGTAGTGATGTAGGAACACTGGAATGTAGGTCAGTAAGATAACACATTGTCGTGATGTTGTGATGTAGAAACACTGGATTGTAGGTCAGTAAGTTTACACATTGTCGTGGTGTTGTGATGTAGGAACACTGGACTGTAGGTCAATATAGTATTACACACTGTCGTGGTGTTGTGATGTAGGAACACTGGATTGTAGGTCAATATAGTATTACACACTGCCGTAGTGTTATGATGTATGAACACTGGATTGTAGGTCAATATAGTATTACACATTGTCGTGGTGTTGTGATGTAGAAACACTGGATTGTAGGTCAGTAAGGTTACACATTGTCGTGATGTTGTGATGTAGAATCACTGGATTGTAGGTCAGTAAGGTTACACACTGTCGTGGTGTTGTGATGTAGGAACACTAGATTGTAGGTCAGTAAGGTTACACATTGTCGTGGTGTTGTGATGTAGAAACACTGGATTGTAGGTCAGTAAGGTTACACATTGTCGTGATGTAGTGATGTAGGAACACTGGATTGTAGGTCAGTAAGGTCACACATTGTCGTGGTGTTGTGATGTAGGAACACTGGATTGTAGGTCAGTAAGGTTACACACTGTCGTGGTGTTGTGATGTAGAAACACTGGATTGTAGGTCAATATAGTATTACACATTGCCGTGGTGTTGTGATGTAGGAACACTGGATCGCAGGTCAATATAGTATTACACATTGTCGTGGTGTTGTGATGTAGTGATGTAGAAACACTGGATTGTAGGTCAATATAGTATTACACATTGCCGTGGTGTTGTGATGTAGGAACACTGGATTGCAGGTCAATATAGTATTACACATTGTCGTGGTGTTGTGATGTAGTGATGTAGGAACACTGGATTGTAGGTCAATATAGTATTACACATTGTCGTGGTGTTGTGATGTAGAAACACTAGATTGTAGGTCAATATAGTATTACACACTGTCGTGGTGTTGTGATGTAGAAACACTAGATTGTAGGTCAATATAGTATTACACACTGTCGTGGTGTTGTGATGTAGAAACACTAGATTGTAGGTCAATGTAGTATTACACATTGTCGTGGTGTTGTGATGTTGGAACGCTGGATTGTAGGTCAATATAGTATTACACACTGTCCTGGTGTTGTGATGTAGGAACACTGGAGTGTAGGTCAATACAGTATTACACACTGTCATGATGTTGTGATGTAGGAACACTGGATTGTAGGTCGATATATCATTACACAGTAATATTACAAATTGTGTTTACAGAACGTTAGAAACCTTTAATATGTGCAGTTTTCATTATTTCTCCATAACTTATTTGTTTACATTATGTCTCGCTCAATATTTTCTTAGGCGCCTAAAACCGTAATAAGCATGTCTGTATTTGGTAAATTAATATACAAAGTAGGTGATTTAAAACATAGCCTTATGGTAGGCAACGGGAAGTTTAAAACATTAATCTGGAGACACATCAGTATTGATCCATTTCGGATCCATATAGATCATTCGTTCCTACAGGAAGTTTTTTTAACAATATGGCGTTGTTTTACTGATATCCTATTCATTATCGTGTGTTCCTGTGTAAACTGATCTCGGTCTACCTCTACTATAAAAGCCTTTAGCGTCGGTATTTATAGTGCATTGTCTACTGTTTATAATAAATGGTGATCATTGTCCCAGTGTGTTTGAGTTACCGTGATTGTTGACCAAACATATGGTCAGTATGTAATGAAGCCCCTTGGGGTACTATAAACATCACGTTCTTTCTAGTAATCTATCTCTCCCTCCCGATTCTACACACATCCTCCATAAACTCACGAGCAAGTTCCTCACACACGTGCAAGGCGTTTGGTCTATAACGAGGATCCTCCTCAACACACAGAGACTAAATTTGTGAGAGAGTATAGAATCACTACGTGTAATGCAGCATCTGTATCTATTTTAAAATCTGAGTATCCCTGCAGCAGGACCCAAAAGCCCAGCCCAGTGAGTTATATTTGGTTTGCCTGTTAATGAGAATCTCCGTTGATTCCTATATTCTAGCAGGCAAACGGATGAGTCACTCTCTCTCTACGCCAACGAAATATCGCTGTTCAAAGCATTAGATGTACACAGATCTACTACGGCATCGAATGGACTAAGATACCTTCCTCTCCTTCCCTGTCAAACGTTCTTGCGAACTTACGACTCGTAAAATGGTTAATCAGCTTGATATACGTGTCAAGCATATGTATTGATATTAGACAACGTTTGTTTTCTTCACAGTCAGAAATAATCATAATAATATAAGCATTTCTAGGCGATGACAAATTATATTCAGTTTGATTCTACATAATGGTTTAGATATAATGTATACTAACATGGAGCCCATACCACTACAAGTAGATATTTTCTTTAGTTCCTCATTCTATGGTTGTGTGATTCTTATATCACCTTAAAGACCTATGAACGTGACCACTGAGTAACTACCGAGGATCTGTAATGGCCCTAGCCATTATGAATTCAATAATTAGAACGAGTCTCTTGATGTATTGAACATATTTTAAAATTATCTGAAGACTTTTTTCTGGTATGTGAAACTAATGAAAATGAAAAATGTAGTTCTATTCATCAAAACACAAAGAAGACCATTTTTTTATTTAATGGAATTGAATTCCCCATATGCATTACCATTTTTGGAAAATCATTAATTATATGCACATACATATCGCCAGATTACGTTTAAAGATATTTTATGGGAACGTGCGGCCTTTCATGAAACAATCTATTCTGTGACTTTTTTGGGAATGCTCTTTCTGAACTTATGAAATTACAAGAAATCGATGATAGGTTTGTTTATGTAACTATGCAAAATTGCTAGCAAACTGGGGGGGAGTCTAAAGAGCTGTCATAAGGCTAGTAACCAGTCGTGTTGTTATGGTAGGTGACGTAGTATTACGTAAATATAGGAGAATAGTAGAACACATACACTAGTCAAGGAAACGCTTTCAAACGTATCTATGTACGAATCAAACGTCATGGTGACAACCAGTTTTATTTAGGTTTGTCAAGAACCTCACCTCACGTTCGTTATCGCCGTACGGGATGTTTAGTGTGCTCATGGCGCGGACAATAGCTACCAGGGACTGGATAGTATTACTGTACACCACGGGTTTGTACTGTTTGTTGTCTTCACTTGTAAATCCGCCTTCATGGATAATTCTGTGAACAGAAAAAAATATTTTAACCACAGCTCAAAAATATACAAAAATCTACAAAATATTGAATAAGTGTACATTTCAGTCTTAACGTATAATGCTATATTAAACTTAAAATGAACATATATTTCCAAGAATGAGTAAAGCTGCATTTCATTATGACAACACTAAAGACCAACACTGGTATCAAACGAAAATACACAATAATAGAGCTTACGTGACCTATTTATACTGAAGCACGTGTATGATGACGACAGTAAATTATAAACATTCAATTTTTTTCACATGCTGATTAGCACACTACTATGTTTAAAAAATATGCTGCTAGTCATATAATGAATCGAAAATAAAATAAATTAGCTTGCCTAAGATAATACCATTGGACGTCAGAAAGGTTCGTTAAACGAAATGCATTGTTTTACAAAGTCACAATGATTCTCATCAAAGCAAACATTTTTTTTTTGGATAATGTTCACACTTAACTTAAAAAAAAGAGTTTAAAAAAATGTCAGCTCGTGTGTTGGTTATAGCGCGTGAAACATGATTTTATACCATAAATGAAGGATGAGAAACAGACAAAGTGTAGGGAAGGAAAGTCGTTGTGGTGGAATGTGGAACAAGAAATGGACATGTTGTTGGGAAAGAAGGTCGGCCCAGTGGAATGTTGGATAAGAAATGGACACATTGTTCGGAAGGAAGGTTGGTCTTGTGGAATGTGTTGGGAAGGAAGGTCGGTCTAGTGGAATGTGGAACAAGAAATGGGCATATTGTTGGGAAGGAAGGTCGGTCTAGTGGAATGTTGGACAAGAAATGGACATATTGTTGGGAAGGAAGGTCGGTCTAGTGGAATGTGAAACAAGAAATGGACATATTTTTGGGAAGGAAGGTCGAGCTTTGTGGAATATTTGACGAGAATGATCCAAGGGAAGATAGGAATGCCGGATAAATTCTGTTTTTATGTCTATAATATCGTCAGGATATTGCAAACATGATTTCCTTCCAGGGAGATTTATATGGAAAATAATGACTTTTCATACGATACGTCTTTGGACGGATTCGTTCCAAATAGACGAAGAACATTAAATGTTGTAACTATATTGCTGCAGCAGGAATTAAACTTAACGTGATCTTTAAAAAATGGTTACATGTTTCCTAAACATCAAACAATTCTACCGCGGTATTTTGGGTCATGTATTTGCTGATAATAAATATGCTCAGTTAGTATTATTTCAGTGTCGTCTCTGTAGCAACATAAGTCGAATTCCCGACTTACGTTAACTTGCTCATTACTGAAAAAAGCTGGATGAAAGCCCCGGCTTCTGTTCCAAACGAACTTTTTGTTCGAGAGTACTGCCTTTGTCATTAGTGTATGATATAACACGATGTAAGCGTGCAATGTTTCAGACAATAAACGTCGACATGAAAACCTATTCTGCACCATCATTTTACACGCCTGCTAGAAAATATGCATACATTATTCATTGGGAAACACCTATCATACGATCTGATACTCCAACACTAGACAGACCCAATCAATCGGCTTGCCAACTGAGTACAGAGACCATGGGGAATGACATTCACAGCAATAGATCAAGAGGTCAACCTGTTCTGAAAAATAGGTCGAAGGTCACTTAACTTAATCCCGCGATGTAATCATATAGTGAGATTAAAAAAAACATGGGATATTGGAGAGAAAGCTGTTTCCTTCACAAGGGCGAAATTTATTTTTAAGTGGTAGTGAATAATGTTTCCTAAATTACGTCATAAACAGTTCATTCAGGTCTACGCTCGAACAAACCTTTTGCTGTATGAAAATACACTTCGACATGGTGATTCAGCACACAGATCACAACAACAATCATACATGTACTTATATATACACATATAGATGAATTCTGAAACGATCTTGTCATCACACAAAAACAAGAGAGCCCTTTTTATTTGAATGTTTTGTATAGCCAGGCATTGGAGATTTCACAGTAGCCAACGAAGAGAGAGGATACTCGGTTCTATGCTTGGTTGGTTTGGCTTTCTGTACCAGTTGTAAATTGGTTCCAAGATTTGTTAAAATCGCTGAAACCCGAATTGCTGGAAAGGAATGCCAAGTGTGTATGTACTAATGTGTCATGTTGTTAAGTGACATTGTTTGTCGAGTGGCGAACACTTGTACGTCTCTAGTATTGAAATTCGTACAACAAGTGGACGTTTCATTGTCTGCTAAAGTTCATGGCCGAGCGTGTGATGTGTTTCTATCATAATATGCTTTTAGAATTATGAAATAAAGAACAGTTTGTATGTGAACTTAAATTCAAAGACGTCATTTAAGAAGTATTTAATCTATTTTCCATCGTTAAAAGTTGTCGACGCCAAAACATTTGAGCAGGGATTGCATAGGTATAAATCACTGGCGAACGATCAATATCTGCTAACTTCCGTGCCATGAATGATCATTTCTCCGTAATTTTTGTTCATCTCGGCTTTGTGTATGTCTTGACTGTCTACCCAAATAGCAGGTACGTTTCTGCTGGAATAGCAATAATACATAGCAAGGTAAAATACATCGTAGAGGCGATACAATACGTCAGAGATCGCCATTTTGGCATCAGCCACGTCGCTGATATGTGTTTGTGTCAAATGGCCGCCATCCGCGACGTTTCCCGGCTCCTCCTTTCTCAGTGGTAGCGCCAGACCAAATATACTGTGTGTGGATACGGCGGAGAGGCAAAACACATACCAGCCGATCAATACTTTGCATGTTATATTTTAATTCCAACAATTGAGAGTAGTGCCGTGCAAACTGTGTCTGATGGCTCCTCGTATGTAATGTATGGACGTAGCAAGTGTAGTTGTGACATTCAGTTCACGGTGGCCATTTCGATCCGCGCTGCCACACTTCGGCAGCATATTATCGTAATGACTGTGTTCTATTTTTAACTTGCAGACAAATTTTTCCGCTGCTCGTATGAACACACGTGTGAGCAGGCGACAGTTGGTATGCGCATGTGCTCTATTTTCAACAACATGTGCATTTTAAAGTTAAGCATATCGATTGATGAATACATAATTCGTGACGTAACAGTCTGGTCTATGCTAATGACGTCACCGCTAATTACGAGAATGCGGCAAAGTATACGTGATTTATTTACACTTGTTCATCCGATACGGTCAGGTTTGACATGTGCTAGGATCAAAACAAAAAAATCCGGCTTTCACAAACTATAACTATAACTAATCCTTTCAGGAATTGACTTTAATTAACCACGGTATAAGATAATAGATAGCTTAGAGAGATATTCCGGAAAAGTCGCAAAATTTCGGGTCAGTAGGTACCTTAAAGATCCCCTGCTACTGACTGTTTAAATTATTGTCAGCGTCTGGTCATTTCGGACAAACGAAATTGGTGGAAATATTCCTGTTCAATTCAAAATTTAAATGTAGAAATTTGAAAATTTAAATAATCAAAAATGAAACGAAAATCTATGAGCACCAGTATAAATATAAAAACCGGAAAACGGACTGATATCTCCGGTTTGGTTTATCAGCATCATATATACTGTACCCTATACACCGTAAATATAAGCTGAAATACAGGGAAAATTGAGAGTAACATAATAAGAACTGATTTCAATCAGTTGCCATGTTTATTTGCAGTGTATTGCGTAATCAGGAACATTTGCAAATTGATCTTTCTATAGCTCTGTAGAATTTCTAAAACAATTAATATCGTAAGTTCTTTTTGTACCGGGTTGAGACGTAGGATTTCTATAATATATATACTATTATGTAAGAACAAGAGCAAATATTTTGTACGTTTTTTTATAAATCAGTATCTAACGAAATCCTGACTTTTCAGGAATATCAATGTAAAAATTTGGAAGGTAAATCTAAATAACGGAGAGATATGCCAATGAAAGTAATTGCTCTTCCGAACGTCACAGTTGGTTTCGATCTCTATTCCCTTACAGTATTGTGTGACGTAATGGGACGTACGCACGCCCAACAAAACCACACGTAAGATATCTTTGAAGACTAAAGTAGTTGTAAAGTTTGGCTTTTTTACAGTATGTTGTGGAAATGCTGCCAACTCCTTCTGTCAAATCGTGTTACAGTAATACGTTGGTGTGTTTACATCGGTGTATCGTTATCGGTTTGTGGCAATAATCAAAGAAAGCGGCACCTCCAGTTTAAGATCCGTGTACCAAGTGGGTTATACAGTAAAGCCGCACCTCCAGTATCCGATCTGTGTACCAAGCGGGTTATACAGTAAAACGGCATTTCCAGTGTCAGATCTGTGTACCAGGCGGGTTATACAGTAAAGCCGCACCTCCAGTATCCGATCTGTGTACCAGGCGGGTTATACAGTAAAGCGGCACCTCCAGTATCCGATCTGTGTACCAGGTGGGTTATACTGTAAAGCGGCACCTCCAGTACCAGATCTGTGTACCAGGCGGGTTATACAGTAAAGCCGCACCTCCAGTATCAGGTCTGTGTACCAGGCGGGTTATACAGTAAAGCGGCACCTCCAGTACCAGATCTGTGTACCAGGCGGGTTATACCGTAAAGCCGCACCTCCAGTATCCGATCTGTGTACCAGGCGGGTTGTACTGTAAAGCCGCACCTCCAGTATCCGATCTGTGTACCAGGGTTATACTGTAAAGCGGCACCTCCAGTGTCCGATCTGTGTACCAGGCGGGTTATACTGTAAAGCGGCACCTCCAGTATCCGATCTGTGTACCTGGTATGTTATATTGTAAAGCCGCACCTCCAGTATCCGATCTGTGTACTAGGTATGTTATACTGTAAAGCGGCATCTCCAGTATCAGATCTGTGTACCAAGCGGGTTAAGATCCGTGTACCAGGAGGGTTATACAGTAAAGCCGCACCTCCAGTGTCAGATCCGTGTACCAGGCAGGTTATACTATAAAGCGGCAGGGTTATACATTAAAGCGGCACCTCCGGTTTTAGATCCGTGTACCAGGTGGGTTATACAGTAAAGCGGCACCT